CAGTGCCGTCAGTGCCTCCTCATCAGTGCCCATCAGTGCCACATATCAGTGTCCATCTGTGCATCTTATCAGTGGCCATCACTACAGCCTCATTAGCGCACATCAGTGAAGGAGAAAAAATCACTTATTTACAAAATTTTATAACAAAAATGAAAAAAAACTTTTTTTTTTTTCAAACTTTTCAGTGGTTTTTGGTTTAAGAAAAAATAAAAAACCCAGAGGCGATTAAATACCACCAAAATAAAGCTCTGTCACAAAAAATGCTAAAAATTTCATATGGGTACAGTGTTGCATGACCGTGCAATTGTCATTCAAAAGTGTGACAGCGCTGAGAAATGGAAATTGGCCTGGGCAGGAAGGGGGTATAAGTGTCCTGTAGGCAAGCGGTTAAAGAATCTGAAGAGAAGATAAGCTAGTTAGGCTAAGAGTGATTTCTGCATAGGGGAGAAGTCCATAACATTAGGACACTAGCAAAAAGATGAGGACTCATGGAGTGGAGTATGATTTTACAGGGCAATCACCCAGGGGGTGTGTCCTCAAAATCTTTGCCTGTGTCCAGTCACATAAAAGGTACAAGCCTGTAAACCTTGGGTCTATGAACACTCAGCCTGTGTCTTGTACTCTGCAATTAAGAGTTATGTTCTGAAATCTTGCAACCCTCAATCATTTTGACAGACTAAATTAAGAGGCAGGAAGATTTAAATATTGGCTTTTTATTGCCCTCAAGTTCTTTCCAAATTGAAATTGCATTGATAATGGCAAGAAAAAATAAAAAAAAAAGTACAAACTTTTCAACTAAACACAATAAATGCAAGTAACACCATAAAGCCAGTTGAGTATAATAAAAAAAGGATAATTTTGATTAATAAACATATGATAGACCATTGTGTTGACTCGTGCAAGAAACCTATCCATAGAATGCTCTATAGTGCAATCAGATAAATTAACATCAAATGACAGAAAATGAGCAGTGTATCAAAACAAAATACATTTTGTCCCAGAAAAGGTTATATAAAGTAAAAAAGTACTTTGATATATCATGTTTTGCTAACATTGGTTGAAATATTTCACTCCTTAAGTTGTTTAAATGTGTTTTCTAGCACAGCCCAAGATGGTCCCTACCTATGAACCTCCTCCCACTTTGAAATACACAAATGTACCAAACCTTTCTACATTTTTTTTTTTTAAATGAAAGGATCAAGCATAAAAATAGATTTTTACCTGCCTGGCTGCAGGCAGTACAGGAGGCAGGAGCAGTCAGAGGACGTAAGGATGCACAAGGTATGGGAGAATGGGTGAAGGGTCACAGGTTAGTGTATTATGGGGGCTAGGGTGAACATGTGCTTTAAAGAAACCCTGCCGCCAGTTTAATATTTGTAATTTGAATGCTTTTATTAAAACAAGAAGCATAGTATATAAATATATTTACGTTTTTATTTGTTTTTTTCTCTTTTTCAGGGGCTCAGCGAGAACCCCCCCCCCCCAAAAAACATTCATTTATACTGTTAGCAAGCATTTCAAGCCCAGTCTGGATGATCTCTGACAGCTGTGGGGGAACTGGAAGATGGAATGAACCAAGACTTTTGGGAAATGTCAAACTCTTATTCTGCAGAGCTTTCAATTAACAAAAAGTGTGCACTAATGACAGGGTCTCTTATTAGAGAGGGATCCTTAGCACAACTAGCAGTGTTCACCAGAAAACACAGTGGGAAGAAGGAATGTGAAGAAAAAAAAGAAACTAGAGAGGGAAAGTAACAAGATTTTTTTCTTCATCTACCTCAATATTCTCCTTAACAATTTAATAAAAAGCAAAGACCGTTTATTTTTTCATACTACCCCCTTCCCTCATGTTATGATAAAAAAAAAAAAAAAAAAAAAAGGTACAACACATGCAAGAAAAAGAATGAGGGAAAAACTGGTTAATATTCTTGCCTTACTCCAGCCTCTTCCCACAGTGTCTAGGTGAGGGTAATGGCACTGTCCTTATGGCTAAATGCCAAGTACCCGGAATCTCATTAGAATATGCTCCTGCATGGGGTATGCACACCATCTTTTACAATTTTGGGCAGTTTGTATTCTTCAGAATATAACTCAAAAGAAGGCAATGTCGCCCCATGCGGTACAGAATTTGGGGTAAGGTAAGAAAGGCTCTGTGGTTTCTTTTTTAATTGAAATAAAGCGCTTTGGCATAGGAGGGTCAGAGGTGTGGGGGGAGAAACAGACCTTGCTTGATATTGTTGAAGCAGGCTTTGCACTGTCTTGCCAACATGCGTGCAAAACGGGAATGCTTGAAATGTTGCGTCACCTAAACCTAAACTAAACTCACGCATTCCTTAAAAGTATGCCTGTTACGAGAAAGGTACAAAAACTGCCACTGCCGATTGTCTCTTGAAAACGTTAATTGCCCCACTGTGTCTAAGGCCTCATTCACATTGGCGTACCAATCTGTACATCTGTGTGGGATGCACAGGTATTATATGCAGCCAGCTGTAGGCAAGTCTGTGCAAATCAAAGACAGGTGGGTACTGCAAGGACCTGCACAAATCTCCAATAGCATCCCCAAGTGGCCATCTGTGCAGGACTGATGCACAAAGCAGAACGCAGACTTGTATTCTGATGCAATCATTGGTCCCCACAAGGATGTACACTCCCGGATGCGTTTGGAGATCCACGCAAATCCGTGCAGCTGCCCGCCTACCATACATATGAACAAGCTGCCTGCATGTGGCTGCACAAAACCTGGTGAAGATGACTCTTTCCACGAGTGTATGGGTTAGTACCCCTGTGTGAATGAGGCCTAACACTTAGGCTTTTTTTTTTTATTTTATATTGTAGGTCTGGCTGACAGTGTATATGTACGTCACCCCTCACTTTTAGGCGTTAAACAGTCACAGTGGCTTGTAGGAATAGTTTAATGATTTAAAAGTGTATTACACTCTTAAATAAAGTCTGTAAATTGTGACCTTTTTGCAGACCCACAGAAATAACAGTTTTCTCTTCTCTCCCTGAGCTGCAGCCAGACTCTGTAATAAATTGAATTATGCTGATATTATTTATAGTGCTTACAAAGAGCAGCATGCTTTACCAGGAATCACTTCTAGTGTGGACATCTAGAGGACTAGTCTCTTAAAGTGAACACCATTCTGATCATTTATTGTTGCTGTGAAAAAAGTGACAAAAATGCAAATAAACTGATAACTAGTAAACACTTGGCAGTATAATCATGCCAAGGAGAATCATATACTCTTAACAATTGATAAAACTAAAATAATGCCTACGGTTACAAACAAAAATATACACAAAAGATAAAACACAAAATAAAATGTTTGCATTGGAATTCAGGTAAACAACTAGGCTTATTCAATAAAGCAAAGGGTAACATGCAAAGTTCTGTAACAAGGAGCAATCAGCAGCTCTCTCACAGACTAAAATAAACTGAAATCTGTTTGAGAACTATGTTTTGCCAAATGTTGAACCTTTGCACTGCTGTACTGAATAAACCAAGTAATATCCATATGTGTTTGAATGTGACTCTCAAAGTGAACCTGATGACATGGACAAAACTACCCCAACTGCCATTGGCTCCACCCTAACAGGCACCTTCTGGTACTAACCCATCAGGACAGTTTCCATTTTCAGTGCTTTAAGCACACTAAATCCTAGGTCATTATGGTATACAATATTAACCATCTTCTCTGACCATCTGGCTTATTCTGCTTCATAGGCTTCCCAACTAGCTAGTGAGGCTGTCCATCAAGGTGACAGGCCAGTAATGAAGCATCGAATGAAGGGTAAGGCTCTCATTTAAGGAAGCAAGTCAGTATTAGCATATCACAGCAATCTGCGATTGGGTGCACCCAGGGTGCTGAATAGTAGAAGTCATCTAGAGATAGAGGTCTACTATGTGGAGCCATGGCAGCTGAACCAATTTTTTTTTTTTTCTTTGTTTTTGTTTTATACCCGTGTTGTAATTTGCTCAAGTATGTCCCATAAACAGTTAGAGATAGGCTTGCAAAGTAAGGATATTACTGTAATGAGAATTTATAAATAACAGTCCCAAACATTTCATTTGATAGTTCTTTCCTAAATGGGGCTCTGGCGTTGATATATATATATTTTTTTAAATGAGTACTCCACCTGAAATTTTTGGTTCCGGGGTAAACAAGTATTTAATTTTAAGGGTGTAGGCTGCTAAATCAACCATACCCGAATTACTTCCACTGAGAACATATTTGTTTTGGTGGGAGTCCTCTAAACCGAAAGCCCAAATTCAAGAACATGTCTATGGAATTGGAATGATACAGAAGAAGGTGAATAACAGACAGAAAAAACAATTACTTGTAAAGAATGAAATACACCTTGGTATGGTCAGGCAAACTAAACTCCAGTTAAATTACAACAGCAATAAAACAAGCAAAGTATATAAAATAAAGCAAAAAATGGTCTTCTTTGAAATAAAAGGAAAAACTGTTGATGCTTTTAGGATGACTCCAAACAAATTTGGCAGGTATGACAACTAGGAAAAATATTGCATTTCGTTGCTTGACACTTCACTATATTAAGCTACTTACTTACACAGAACATATAAGGCACCAGCTCACGCACAGAACTCATCCGATCTCCAGCACCTCAAGCAAGATGCTTGTTCACATTGCACGTCATACATCAATTAGAAGTATGCTTTTGTAAGGAATTAAACTCAGAGTCTGAGTTATATGAGTATTTCCCTTAGCACATTGTTCCTTGTATACAGGAAACTTGACAAATGAAAATTTGTGACAGATTGTTCTTCTGTTGTGATTGTACTGCTACTTGAATACATGTAGGATCTTACATGTAAGGCAGTGTTGAACGTTACTCATCATGCAGACCAGGTTCTTGTGGCTGAGATGTAAAACAATGGTCCCAGTATTTGGAAGCAGTTCATTTGCATTTTTTTTCTTGCTCCTTGACTGTAACTCATAGATGTTTGAAAGGCTGGCAGGAGAGTAAAAAACATTCTACTTATTCTCCAGTTTGAACAGGCTCAGAATGTCAAGCAGAGATTCTCGAATGTGCTTGCCAAAGCGGTGGGAATCCTGCAGAGAGCAAGATTGAAGAAATTAATGTCAAACCAGAGGCTTGTGGACAGGTTATAACACCAATCAGTGCACTTGACCCACAGGAAACCGAGCTGAAATGCAAACAATGTGTGCAAACAGATACTGTATACTAACTATATCATGAAGGGTTTACTCCAAACATCAGAATTATATCGAATAGCTCTGCCTCTGTTTGAAAAGCAAAGCTGTCTGAAAAAGTAAGTGCACGTCATCCCCTAACAACTTTTCCCACTGTCTGTTAAAAGGATCAGGCCACTTTCAAAGGTGATATTCCAGTTAGAGGGGGAGTCTGGTGGGTGGAGTCACTTTGTGATTTTTTTTATGTCTTTTGGTGACTCAAGCAGTAAGATCTTCCCAGTACAGGTCTTGGTTCCATGCCCACCCAGTTAGGAGTTTTGCCTGTTCAGAACCACCTTGGTGTATCCTTACTCCTCTCACTGCTGTATTTATGATATTAAATAATTTAAAAATGCAGCAGGCAGAGTAGAAGCCTCTTCTGATAAGAGATGGGCAGACCAAAGAAATAAAATGCAAGATCGCACCCCACCAGAATCCCCGCTGGAAAAATTGCTTCTGGGTGCCGCTGCCCTATAGCTTAAAGGGAAAATGAAAATTTATGGTACACTTCTTTCACATGGCTTTCCTGATCCTCCAATACTTCACTGGAGTTGGCTTAGCTCACTAAGAATTGGAAAAAGTCATTTTATCTCACATTTAAATTGCTTTCTCCACCCAAACGCAAGTACCCCAACCACTGCTGGTGCTGTGGAGTAGACACAGGCACCATGCTCCACATATGGTGGTTGTATACCCAGATCAAACCACTCTGAAAGGCTATTTTCTAACTGTGCTCTCACATCACAGATAGGACTTACCTGAAATTGCCAAAACTGGCATTAATTTTTGTTTTCCGGGCACTCCATTACTGGCCAAAAAGGGCCTGCTTCACTTCCTCCTATCTGCAGCATGAGTTTTTAATATTAAGATACTGGAATTCAACAAAAGTGGCAAGTATCAGGGAATTGAAAATAATCATATAATGAAAATGAAAGAACTCACAGAGAACAGAGTTTCTTCCATTCTTCCTAGTAATCACTGTCAGATGAGGGGGGTGGGGGAATTTAACAAAACTGGATCATGCAGAAGAATCTGGTGCTGTTGTGCATAGTAACCAATTAGCTCCTATGTTCAGCTTGTTCAATGAAGCTTTGACAATAAAACCTAGAAGCTGGTTGGTTACTATTCGCATGTGCTCCAGTTTTAGTAAACCCCCCCAATGACTCATATCTAGTATTCGCTGTCAGTGACAGATGACAATGACAGTAATCAGATGACAAAGCTGTACTATACAAATATTGCTTTGAATGAAAGGAAAATACATTTCTGCCTGTATACTAACTGGCAAAAAGAAAATGTACGGTTATACTGCACAACAGTACTCTCTAACTGTACTGAGCATATACATAGGCTAAACTCTCATTCTGAAAAAACTAGTTGCCTGGCTAACAATTCTATCCAAAGACTTCAATTCTTTGTGTTCTTGACCCAGAAACAATTATACAACTAATTAAATTAGAGGAAAATCAGAGCTTCTGACCTTATTATATATTGCGAGTCAGTGACAGTATTGAGGTCCTTGCACAACAGCAAGGCAGCTACAGTAATTTTAACAGGAAAGTTTCACAATATCAGTTGCTCACAATTTCTTAGCACCGATACCCTTAAACACCTTCAGGCTGGAATCATTCCAGCTAAGAAGGCACAAAACCCAATCATGAATAGGTTAATCCAAAGAAGAATATTCTGCAGGCCAGGAATTCCCTGACTTTATCTTTCAAAGTAACTCTGCAGTCTACTTACACCCAACCCATTTAATGTGATTATACTGATTGACATTCAGGATATTCTGATTGGTATTCAGGTTCCTGCTCTACTCTCCCATGTGATCTAATGGAGGCTCAAGGCGTTTGCACAGTTCAGAGTTATTGCAAAGAGCATAATTTTCTGCCCAGAGGACTTCTGAAAACCACACTCAATCTAGCAATGGGAATATTTTATTAAAGCCTGTGAACTTGAAGGGCTTGTTCGCACCAGATGTGGTGCAGGAACACATGCAAAATCAAACATTTTCCAGCTCTGCACAAAAACGCACTGCCCTTTTTGCAGCATTCGCACAAACCAAAACTTATGGTACCAAAAGTACCATACATTCTGGTGTGGCATGATTTTAAAAACCATGCCGACACCTTTTTTTTGTGCAAAAAAAGAGCGCATCCTAGGATGCACTTTCTGGTGTATATGAGGCCTTAAAGTTTTGTCAGGTCTTTTTAACTTGCATGGTAGAAATGTCTCCTAAACAGTAGCATGTCAATCATGAATGATTAAAAATTATTAGGAACATTTTCAGGACACTCACTGTCTCATGGCTGGAGAGCTTGCAGGACACATGGAAGTTGATCAGATTTTCACCAACTATTATGTAGGAGACCCCATATCCATCGTCAGCCACCTGAAAAACAGGAAGCAGAAGTACAGACATTGAAAGCTGGAAACAGTTTCCTGTAACCCATTTATTAGAGATAAACTAAGGAGAAAAGGAAGTGAACGTACATATAATGAGAACGCAATTAGCCTTCTTTAAAACAGAAAAAAAAAAAAAAAAAAAAAAAAGACTGTTCCTTTAAACAAATGTAATGTATAAGGTATTTGTTGATTGCTTTTGCTGCAGAGTCACAGCTAAAATAATGTTACCAAAGTAAAGCGATTATGATAGATAAAAAATGAGGGCTACCACTGCTTCCATTTTTATAAAATGTCATGTTCATTTTATAACTGGGAAAGGAGTGAGAGGTGCCACTCTCTCTCCTTTCTCTCTCTATGCATATCTTTGAATAAGCTTCAAGTCCCTGTAGAGGCTGCCACAAGTGGATGGACACTATCCCCCTATTGTCCTGTATGGACTATACTATACAACCCTAATTATTTATTCTTAGTCTAATGGTAATCATTGCCGGATCAGACTCAAATAGAGCTATTTTTATTTTTTTTTAATTTTGTAAGATAGTGTGCTCATGAGATTGTTTTTTTTTGCGCTTTAACATCTTGAGTCATTCTATGATTGAACTACTTACAGATGCATTCAATAACATTAAACAGCCAAACATCAATGCAATTAAACTGGTGTATGACGCCCTTTATGTAAATGGTTAACAAATCAAGGGCTTCTGGTTTTTCCAGAGCAAAAGGAAATCGGAAACCAAAAATAAGATTTTCATACTCAGCGTAAAGTCCTTTCCCTGGGGTCTATTGAGGCACACTGTTCCCTTCCCTCTGTGTTTATATTATGCTTTCGGTATCACTTTGCAACAAAACTGAAAACATGGGCATTATTATCCTGTGCTAGCCAACAGATTTTTTTTGTTGCCTGTTTCCATTTCTGTTGTAGGTGGCAGTATAACCTCGCCAGTGTAAAAACTGTAAGAGTTCCTGTATCCCTCAATGGACTCCAAGAAAACGATTTTAGGTATGTACAAAAATCCTTTTTTTCTTTATCACAGGAATTTTCAATAAACAGTTTTGACATAAAGGTGGGCAAGACAGCAACAATGGCTTACAGTCTGAAGAAAAAACAATAGAAACTGGTGACTGCCTGCAGCCCACTGAGCTACCTGAAGGACTCAATGCCTGAAGCTGTCAGATGAGCCTAAAGCTCCCCTCAGTAGAACAATGAAAAATAAAAACAGAGGCTGAAAAGAAAAAGAGCAGACACAGGATCTACTAGACCATACGCTTTGGTGAGCGTCTGCCTAAGCCACCTAAAGATGGTAGACCAAGATGCTTGTGTACCCTTACAGGGTCCATCCAGAATACCAAAGAAATTAATTTGCCTGAAGAAACAGTAACAGAGAGAGACCAAGAAAATCACATCCAGACAATTGAGGGAAACTTGCTTTTGCTGATTCAAGGCTGGACAGAGGGATGAAAGGACAATGGCATAGTTAAAGTGAAAGACAGAAACAATGTTAGTCAAGAAGAAACTCCTTGTTCTTAACATCACTTGGCCCCTATGTAAAATCAGAAAAGGCTCCTGGCAGTATAAGACCACCAGTTAAGACACTCATATCATAGAGGTGATAGTTGCAAGAAAAACTACCCTGTGGGTAAGAGTAAAAAAAGGAATGTCTATAACATGGTGATCTCACAGAACAAAATTCAGATCCTACAGTAATGAAGAAAGGAACAGGGGAAGCCACATGATGGACTCCCTGTACAAATATCTAAATTGAGAAATGAAAGACCAAAAGGTCTCTGAAACAGAACAGGAAAGGCAGAAATCTGGCCCTTGAAGGTGCAAAAGAGACAAATGCTGGTCCAGGCCCAGATGCAGAAGTAGAGGATTTGTCCTATAGAAAAACATGAAAGGTGGAAGCCCCTGAGATTTACACAAAGTTAAGTGTGTCTTTCACTTCAGATAGACCTTGCAGGAAGTAGTCTTTCTACCCGTTAGCATTATAGGAAATGCAAATTCAGACACACTCCTTACTTAAGGGTAGCCAGGGCTTGAAATGCCATGCCATTAAAGACAGTGACTGTGAGGTAGGATGGCAAAAAGATCCTTGGGACAGAAGATCCATAAGATCTAACATAGTCCACAGAGCATCTGCTAGTAAGTCTTACCAGGTCAGTCTACCATATTCCCCTGTGCCAGTTCAGAACAATGAGCAGCACCAGAACGCCCTGTATTGAGCCTGTGAAGCAAACAAGGAAGATGATTCGGGGAAGGAAAAACAAATATCAGTGTGTAGCGATTCCAGAGTCACCAGAGAATCCAATGCTTTTGCAAGAGGATACCTGTACCTGGAGACAAGCCTGTTCAGACTGTAGGGACCACTCCTTCAGATCCAAGCACTGTGGGATGAGAGAAGTGTTGTTGCAAATTGTCGAATCCTGGGCAGAAAAAGTAACATGAAGTTCTGTCCAGCACAGGACTCAAACTAGCTGTCTTGCCACAGTGAGATCTCGGATTCCCCCGGCGGTTGATGTATACCATCACTGTGGTGTTTGGCTGAATCTGAATTGGATGACCTTTCAGAAGGATAGTTCAATGCTGCAGAGACAGTCCAATAACCCAAAGTTCCAGGTTGGTGATCAGAAGATAAGATGCAACAGCCTTACAGGCTGGCATGTCACAAGACTCTTCCATAACATAGGAAAAAAGGAATTCTGATTTCTGAACCACCAGGCCACGGACAACCTGATCCTCGGTGTCTAATAATTAGATCTGTCTAGAGACCTGATGGACTTCTCATGATGAAAGAACATTACAATTAAGTGAAGAAGAGGTCTGAAGTGAAAACTGCGCAAATGGAACGGTCTACAACAGCAATGGGTACGGCCCGCGGGCCGTATGCGGCCCGGCGGACCTTTTAATCCGGCCCGCGGAGCTAGGCTCCCGCTAGGCTCCTCTCACAGTCCGCCCTGAAGACCGGTGTAGCATGAAAATCCGGCACATGCGCAGATACGTCGAGGGGGACAGATCCTCATAGGAGACAGATTTTCATGCTACACCGGAACGGCGCGGGAACACGGCGAGAGGAACGCGCGGAGCAAAGGTAAGTGAATTGACACAGGGGGGACTTGGGGACTTAATATGGGGATGATTACTATGGGGAATGAATTACTATAGGGGGGATGAATTACTATAGGGGGGATGAATTACTAATGGGGGGTGAATTACTATGGGGGATGAATTAGTATGGGGGATGAATTACTATATGGGGGATGAATTACTATGGGGGATGAATTACTATGGGGGATGAATTACTATATGGGGGATGAATTACTATGGGGGATGAATTACTATGGGGGATGAATTACTATGGGGGATGAATTCTATGGGGGATGAATTACTATATGGGGGATGAATTACTATATGGGGGATGAATTACTATGGGGGATGAATTACTATATGGGGGATGAATTACTATAGGGGGGATGAATTACTATAGGGGGGATGAATTACTATAGGGGGGATGAATTACTATAGGGGGGATGAATTACTATATGGGGGATGAATTACTATAGGGGGGATGAATTACTATGGGGGATGAATTACTATATGGGGGATGAATTACTATGGGGGAAGAATTACTATGGGGGAATATTACTATACTTACATGGATGACACATACACATCATTCATCTACTCTTGGTCCGGCCCCCGGGTCCAGTATATGAACCCATTGCGGCCCTCAAGTCAAAAAGTTTGCCCACCCCTGGTCTACAATCATACCCAGGACTCACATGGAAATGTAGAGTCAGGCGACTCCTGGACTAGAAAACCCTAATCTAAACCTGGATAGTCTTAAAGTGACACTAAATGATATCCTTATTCTCAAAAGAAATCCATACACATCCATTACTTCATGGCAGTGTAATCTATTTTTAAGAAAATGGTTCTCTATGAACTCCTGAACCTCTTCATTTCCTCCTCACTTTCCTCTATTTGGAACAAGCAGTGCATATCAGTTGCAGGTATGTGCTTTGCTCTATGCTCAACACAATACCCATAGTCCCTAATCCATCTCCAGAGTGAGCAAGAGAGGGTGGCTATATTCCTACATACAGTGGGACCATGAAGAAGAAACAGATTTACCTAGGTGGATGCAGCATCGATTCGAAGCTACGCCTGTCCATCGCCGGCTCCAAGGCTGAGAAATAAGCAATCAAACACCAGTGATTGCTCAGCTATCCCTGTCGCTCTGAGCTGAGAGCGATGATTGTAAGTCACTGCCTTCTGCTTTACCCCCCCCCCCCCCTGGAGTGCTGGGCTGCGGAGGGGGCGAGAGAGTATGGCTCAGGCTCTGGGCGGATCGCTGAGAGGCTGAGCCTGGTACCAGTCAAGGCTCCTGGGTGGATCCCGACCATATCAGTGACGTCAGCCAACAGCAGACTTTAGCCTGCGGTCAGCTGAAAACAGGTGTTATCCAGATGTAAGCTGAAAACTGCACTCCTGTGATCCAGGAGCCAAACGAGCTTCTCCATTTAGTGTCACTAAGTTTCTTCTGTGGAAGAACTCATCAAAATGGTGGATGAAGGGAAGGCCAAAAGGTGCCACATTGCATTAGTAAACAATTCAAACAATAAAGAGTGGGATCTTTAAAGTGTCAGTAAAAAAATAAAATAAACCTTTTACAATAAAATAATTTTTTAAATCATATTTTATTGAAGGTGTTTTCCGATATAAACATCAGAGTATAAAAAAAGAAGCTTGGTCTAGCTCATATTAGGTAAAAGCGATTATCAAGTATGAAACAACAATCGGCGCTGGAATTACAAAGCATGAATACAAATAGCACACTGGTAAAATATAGGTCATATGTGACATTTGGTAAGAATCAACATAATCCCCAATAAAAGAGAGGTGTTGGAGACATGGCAAGCTAATTTGGTTAGGTACATTTACAAATCAATTACGTGTCTATATCGGATTTCCAAAATAACTTTAAATGAACTAAAGTGGACTTTATAGGTACTGCATGGACAGGTTATATGGCAGCGATTAAATTCAGCTGCAATCTGCTTAGTAGAGATGATGAGAGCCTTAATCAGTATATCGTCAAAACCAAGCGCCTATTAAAAAAGAAGTCTAATCTATACTGACATATGCAAATTTTCCAACAATATATTAAAAGAGAATATTAGTCCTATAGGTCTGAGAATACAAGTTTTCCCTACCATTAAAAATGCTACACTATATTTTTAGATCTCTTGGGAACGAGCTCTCACCAAATGTAGTGTAGAGTTGATGGAGCTTTAGGTGGAACAGTATCAGACAGATATGAATTTACTTGATCAGGAACCAATATTACGTAATAATAAATATGAATCAGTGAAGAATCATGCACAATATGAAGGCAAATATCAAGAATTTAAGGACTGTGTAGCTAAAATTAATACAGAAGTTATTTCCAAAAAACAGAACAAATTCTCTAAGGACACTCTGGCTTTTATGGAAGGATATGCCTCCCATTGGGCCAATCCATTATACAATCGGGGGACACCGAGACAAGGTAAAGAAGAGTATATTCTGTAACAATTTTTGTTTTATATGTGTATGTACTATTCTGTGCATGGTCAATAAAGTGTTACATTTTATGAATCACGGTTTGTAGTGCCTATAAAGTCCATAAGGTTTTCTATTTCCAGTTATAAATAACCTGCAAATTACATAATGTATAAGGAAGCGTTGGCACTATAGACACACTCAGTGCTTCGTAACATCAAGCCCCTTGTAACGGCAGAAGCCAGAAACATCAGTGGCACCAATGTGTAACGTTTCTTGAAAAAAGTATTAAAATAGAGCAGGAAAGGAAAAATTTTACTTTCACACATTGCCCTGCTAATGATCCTTTTCCTGACAATACTTCCTTGGACAGTTTCAAATACAATTAAGGGAAACATTCCTAACATAGCAAGTCTGCTACCTCCACTCACACAGATGAGTCTCCAGAGACAGGGCCAGGTGAAATCAGGCTCAGCTCTGGACAGATAATCCTATAAGAATGCCTAACTTCCGGTTCTGGCACCGCATGGGGAAGAGGTGAGACGCCCCTGCTCCCACCGCCCTCCTCCACCGCTGAGCTCCCACGCCTGCTATAATTCAGGGGCCACCCCCCCATTTCTGCCCGCGGCTCTCGGGGAACACATGGACCACTATGTGAAGCTGTCCCACGCCCACTCCTCTTCTGTCCCCCCATCTGTCACAGGGGGACACAGTGGCCGTTGCAGCCAAGATGGCCGCAGCTGCAATCATTCCCACTGACACAGGGGATCAGCAGAGCCCACAGCAGCCACAGCCTCCTACTTTTCAGCCTCCGGACCCTGCCTCACCAGCGGGCATTGCCCACGCAGTCATGGCACTCCTAACACCTAATCTCACAGCAGCAGTCGACAGTGCTGTTCTTAAAGGGCTATAACCGCTACATAAAGGTACACACAGCTCTGTATCCCTGGAGAAGTCACGTGTTATCGTGACGCAACGGATGGCAGCCATCTTTGGACTCCCTATGCAAGCACCCTGACTGTGGGTTATACAGTTCATGCCTGGTGGGTCTATGACCCGATTCTGTGTGAGTAGGTGTTTGGCATTTGTGTATGGTATAATAAACAATCTATTACACTATGGTGGCTTTTTCTCTGATTCTCTGTTTATGAGCCATTGGTAGAGTGGAGGAATTATGGAAAAGTGCCTTACCATTGTAATGGTTGATTAACCGTGAGCTGTGTGGAAGCTGATCCTGTGTCCATCCAGAGAGTGAGATTAATCCCACTTGGAACTATACTGGTGATCTGTTATGCCTTATGACTCCTTGAGGGTCAAAGATTGGAGGAAAGTATGCACGCTAGACAGTGACAGATGGTCTGATGCACTTGACCCGTATTAATTTTCACGGTCGAAGATTGATTCATCACAATTATACGTTTGGGACTTTGTGCTATATGATTTATGAACATTGTTCATTTATGATCACATGTATTTAAATTTGGTTAATATTTGTTTCACGTAAATCACCTATCACTTATATTTAGTCACATTCTTGATGGCGTGTTTTTGGGGTACACATTAGGTGCACCACTGTACACCTATATATTTATTCATGCATTTTGTGTATTCACCCACTTAATATTGAGTTCTATAATTAATTTTTTATGTCAATTATCACATGGTATTAGCGCTACACCACCATATCTACTTCTGTTTCATCTATTCTAGTCCAGTTAGGTGTGAGCAGCTTCTTTGTTTTTATATCTTTGGCAGCGCATGAGTCCACCCCCCTTTATTTAGGATGTCCTCACCCACCTCTGCACTAATCTGCACCTCTTGGTGAATTTTCCATAATATATATAAAAAAAAAAAAAATCATGGAGAGTGGGAAACCCTTATAATGGTCACAGCAGCTGTGTAGACTCAGAAGGGGAATTTACTAAAACCGGAGCAGGCAAAATCTGAAGCAGCAGTGCATAGTAACCAGTTTCTAACTTCAACTTGTTCAGTTAAAGCGGTAGTAAGCTCCACTTTGCAACTTTTATCTACAGGTAAGCTTAAACCAAAGCTTACCTGTAGGTAAGATGAATATCTCCTAAACATGCACTTTAGGAGATATTCACATGTTTTGCAGCCAGTGATGTCACCAGCACATGTGCACTGTGCATGCAAGGGACAGCAGAGAGAGCGCTGTGCCACAATCCTGGCTCCCATACGCATGCGTGGGAGCGACGTCATCGTTGCTCTGGCATTCAACTGGCCAGAGCCTGTGAATTTGGAAGAAAGAATGGGCGAAGAAGGATGCCCTGTCATCAGTGACAGTGAGCTGCAGGGCTTTGTTATATAGGGTAAGTCTTTCTTAATGTGCAAGTATGCAATGCACCTGCAGGGGGCCTGTATTCCCCCCCCCAGGATTTATTACCACTTTAGTCTTTGAAGATGAAAGCTAGAACCTGATTGATTGCCATTCACAGCTGCAGCAGTCATAGTAAATTCCCCTAAGAAACTCAAGGCCAGACACCTCATGAAAATCACCCTCCCATGTAATATAAGAACAAGTGGCTTAACCATCCAACATCTACCAAAAATCTAAATATTTTTGGTGGACTGACCCTTTAACCTAGTCAGTTCGAACAGAGGCAATCCAACATAGGCAAATCTCATCATTAATTTTAGGTGCTGTCAAATTCAGATTCAGTTACAAACCCACACTACAATATTTCAATAGAAAGAAAAAAATGATTGGCTGGTAAAAGCATGAAGAGGTCAATCCAACAAGCACTTTCTTTTAGAAAATTGAAATACCCTTAAAAAGAGAAAAAGATGGGAACCAGCTTTAGTGTGAGTTACGGTAAATGTGAAAGACTGCATAATATTTACTTACAGGTCCAAATCCACCTCCACATGAGACATATTCTGGATGGTTTACTAAATCAAAGAGTTCCACTTGTTGGATAGGAGTCTGGCTGGTGGAGAGGCGCCATGGTTCAGACAACACCTAAGAAAGCAAATTTACATGGCCAGTTAGACAGCACATACATGAATCATGTTCTTTTTGGTTAACTAGCCCCAGGTAGATGTAGGAATCCTTCTGCTGAGCTATTGTATTCTGACAGCTGGAAAGCTTCCCTGCCATCAGAATACATCAATCAGCACTATTAGCTATAGCCTGCAGCACTGATCAAGCGGGGGGAAAAAAACATGACAGGGTGGTTGTGCAGGTGTTGATCAATAGATCGACTTCTATACAACCATAGCGCCCAAACATGGATGAAATTCAGCTAGTTCAGCAGGGATCCATGTATGGCAGGCTTTAGCAAACAAACTAATAGTAACACTAATCCATTCAACAGCAAGCACAAACCAGTGTTTTACCTCTTTCAAGAAAGGTGAATCCATCCCCAGGTATTTAGATACTACATACAGACAAAACAGATGTCGATCAATTCCAGCCCCAGTCATTGCATTTCTGTACAGCAACTGATGCTTATCTGATGCTTTTCTAAAGAGTTTTAGCCTTTCCTCAACCTGTTGATAGAGAGAAAAAGTTAGTATAAAAGCTTCACCTGCCTATAGAGTCTACAGTGCAATCTAGCCTACTAAAACACACACATTTTAGTTGCAAGAGTTTCTTTTTTTGGGGGATTAAAAGGGAACATACAGTATACTGTGCATTTCTAAAGTATTCAGACCCCCTTAACTTTTTAAATTTTGTTATGCTGCAGCCAGATACTACAGTTGTTTAAATTAGTTTTTCCTTCTCATTTTCCACTCAGTACCCTATAGTGACAAAGTGAAAACAGAATTTTAGCAATGTTTGCAAATTTATGAAAAAGGAAAAACTGAAATATCACATAGGCATAAGTATTCAGACCCTTTGCAACAACACTTGAAATATAACTCAGGTGCCTCCCATTTCTCTTGATTGTTGCAGAGATGTGTCTACACCTTGACTGTCATCCACCTGTGGCAAATTAAATCGATTGGACACGATTTGAAAGTCACACACCTCTCTATAAAAGGCCACACAGCTGACAATGCGTACTCTATCAGCGCAAAAACCACAAGGTCAACAGAACTGCCTGCAGAGCTCAGACACAGATTTGGGGAAGGCTACAAAAAAAATTTTCTGCTGCACTGTAGGTTCCCAAGAGCACAGTGGCCTCCTGGCAAGGGCGAGAAGGGCCCTAGTAAGAGAGGTGACTAAAAACCTGATGACCTGATGGTCACTGACTGAGCTCCAGAGATCCTGTGTAGAGATGGGACAAAGTTCCAAAAGGACAACAATTACTGCAGCCCTCCACCAATCTGGGCTTTATGGCAGAGTGGCTATATGGAAGCCTTTTCTCAGTGTAAACACATGAAAAACTATACATATAGAGGAGAGAATAATTTTAGAATTATCCGCCTAATGGCCTATAAGTATTGCCGTTTAAACCACGAGAGACTAACAACAAAAACAGATAAGTCCCAATCAAGGGGTAAAGCCCCCTGTATGAGACAAGCAGTTATTTCAATGGCAAAAAAGGCTTACAACACAGGATAAATGAATATCAAAAGACTTTTATTATCAAAAAGGTAAAAAATCCTACTTCACATAGATTTAGACACACAGTGCTCAATGCCCACAGTGTACATCACATTACCATAACTTAAAACCAATGTCACTAAATAGACGTCCAGACATCAATTATATATGTTGCATTATCCAGGCGCAGACAGTTGGACGCTTGTACCTGACAAAAAGCATTTAAGCCGGTAATGCAAGATATATATGCCCCAGGGCCCATACAGTCCCCCACTCAACTCATGTGAGATGGAAATAAAAAGGAAGGAGCCTCCAACCATGGAAGGCAAGTATCAAAACAAAAATCCCTCTACAGTTGTATTAACCAGTAGGTGAGTGAGGCAGCAAAAAGACCAATTAGCTTGAGAGATTTCAGTGGTGGACAGTCACTCTACATGGACTTCACGGTTACTGGCATCAAGACCATAGATTTTCTGATTACTTCCAGTGGCTGAATATTAAATTCAGTATTAAATCGCTTCCCCACCACCCTACAGTAGAACTACTGCTAAAGGGCAGCAGGGCTGCGCAAAATCATGTATATATACACACACGATTTGTATTTCTAGGTAGGGGGCACGCACCATTGGCGGCTACAGATGTCAATCACCGGGTCCCGGCCAGAGATTCCTCGCCGACACCTGGTGATCACTGAGTAGGATAGGGGAGAGACAGTGTGTAAACAACACAGGTCTCTCTCCCACCAGCAAGAAAATGCTGCTGTGTATTTCTCTGCACAGCATGTTTCCCTAGTAAAACACACAGCACACACAGTAAAACCGCACACAGTTAACCCTTTGATTGCCCCAGATGTTAACCCCTTCCTGCCCAGTGTCATTAGTACAGTGTCAGTGCTTTTTATTAGCACTGATCACTGTATTAATGTCATTGGGATGTCAGTGGCATTTAGTCAGTTCCCACCCAGTGCTAGAATGCCTGCTGCAGTCCCACTATAAGTCACTGATCGCCGCCATTGCTAGTATTAAAAAAAAATAAAAATTCCAGTATATATACCACCATTTGTAGACGCTATAACTTTCACGTAAACCAATTAATTTACATGTATTGAGATTTTTTTTTTTTTTTTTTTTTTTAGCAAAGCCATGTAGCAGAATACATCTTGGCCTAAATTTTTGACAAAATTTGATTTTTCAGAATTTTTACTGGGTATGTTTTATAGCAAAAAGTCAAAAAATATATATATAAATTTTTTTTTTAAATTGTCGGTCTTTTTTGGTTATAGCGCAAAAAATAAATGCACAGGTGATCAAATACCACTGAAAGAAAGCTCTATTTGTGGAGGAAAAAAAAAAAAAAGGACATATATTTCATTTATGTACAGCTTTGCATGACAGCCCAATTGTCAGTTAAAGTAACGCAGTGCTCTGGAGGGCAAGTGCTTAATTGCAGTAAGATGGCTATATCATCGTGCCCATTAGCAGACATTGGCAAGCTTATATTGATATTAGAATTGCCAGCTGGGGAACAGGGAGGGTGCATATACTGGACACGCAGTTATAGACTGTTCAATATAGTGTTGAAGAGCACACAGTAACTCTGTCCTTAAAACATTTCATCTGGACGATGTAGCTAAAAAGCAATTTAGTTGTAGTATATAAAAAACACACAGTGGCTCAACCCATATATCCATCCAACTGGGGAGCAAGAATATGTATGTCCCCAGTGTGTGCTAACAGAAGAATGTTCTGTTTGACCATGTCCAAAAATAGCAACTCCGTCTTGTCCAGCTTGTGTTAAAGCATCAATGTAAGGATCTCACCGCATTCTGGAGCCCTCATTTACCAGCCCAATGCCATGTAAAGCCAAGAGCTATGGTATGTTTGTTGCTCTCACTCCTCGTGGTCCGCCGCTATAGTATTCAGGCATGGGGGTGTGGTCATGTGAAAAACACATGATGCTCAGTGACGTCAACACGTTTCGCTTACGTACAAGCGTAGCTTTGTCAGGACAATGTGTGGTCCATGTACCCACTCTATATATAGGATAGCATGTCAAGGCTAGTTCTGCATGCTGTAAATTCTTAAAGGAGACATTGTATTATTTCTTCCTGATGTAATACAAAATCCCACTGTGAGTTACACAGATTATGGAAAAACTAAACAGTACCGTATATACTCGAGTATAAGCCGACCCGAATATAAGCCGAGGTACCTAATTTTACCACAAAAAACTGGGAAAAAACTATTGACTCGAGTATAAGCCGAGGGTGGGAACACCAGTGGGAAGAATCGTGCCTCATCATTGGTGTCAGTGGGAGGAATAGTGCCCCATCATTGGTGTCAGTGGGAGGAATAGTGCCCCATCATTGGTGTCATTGTGCGTCAGGGAGGAATAGTGCCCCATCATTGGTGTCAGTGGGAGGAATAGTGCCCCATCATTGGCGTCAGTGGGAGGAATAGTGCCCCATCATTGGCGTCAGTGGGAGGAATAGTGCCCCATCATTGGCGTCAGTGGGAGGAATAGTGCCCCATCATTGGTGTCAGTGGGAGGAATAGTGCCCCATCATTGGTGTCAGTGGGAGGAATAGTGCCACATCATTGGTGTCAGTGGGAGGAATAGTGCCCCATCATTGGTATCAGTGGCAGGAATAGTGCCCCATCATTAGTATCAGTGGGGGGAATAACACCCCATTATTGGTGTCAGTGGAATAGTGCCCCATCTTTGGTGTCAGTGGGAGGAATAGTGTCCCATCATTGGTGTCAGTGGGAGGAATAGTATCCCATCATTGGTGTCAGTGGGGGGGTGGAGGAATAGTGCCCCATCGTTGGTGTCAGTGGGGGGGGGGGAATAGTATCCCATGATTGGTGTCAGTGGGGGGTGGAATAGTGCCCCATCATTGGTGTCAGGGGGGGGGGGGGGGGGGGGGGGGAGGAATAGTGCCCAATCGTTGGTGTCAGTGGGGGGGGGGGAGGAAAAGTGCCCCATCGTTGGTGTCAGTGGGAGGAATAATGCCCCATCATTGGTATCAGTGACACCAATGATGGGGCACTATTCCTCCCACTGACACTTGCTGGCCCCTGTTCCAGTATGGTGCTGCTGCAGCCAGCATATGTGGTTGCAGCAGCACCTAAGCACGGCACACTTACCTGCATCTACTTCACTCGATTTTCGCAGGGCCGCTCAGCTTCGCCTCCTCGCCGGTGATTGGCCGCCTGTGTGCCTTTCCTGAGCTACAGTTCTGGCGGCCAATCACCGGTGAGAAGGTGGAGCCGAGCAGCACCGCGCGAACATCCAGTGGACGAATCGAATGAAGGAGCAGCCGCTTCCTGGACCGGATCGTCGTGGGACCGGAGCCAGGTAAGAGACAGCAGCCCCCTGCCCACCCCTGTACTTACCATAGTTTCCCTTCTGTTGGAAGGGGGGGGAGCCATCTGCAGACGTTGACTCGAGTATAAGCCGAGGGGGGCCGTTTTTCAGCACAAAAAATGTGCTGAAAAACTCGGCTTATACTCGAGTATATACGGTAATTAAACCTAACAGACTTGGAGCACATATTGTTCAAACTAAATATACCTGTCCGGACCTATATTTCAACTATGTGTTCGTGTGAGTAAATAGAAATACCTTAGAGACCACATATAGACTATTAGTCCTCCAGGAAAACCTGAGGGTTCAATTCTGTATTGAGAGCCAGGGAAACCAAAGATCTCAAACAATATATCCACCATTTTTCCTTCCAAAGTAGTATGTTATTAAAATCACGTCTCTGGGACAATTTAAGGGCATATATACCTTTTATTTTCATTCCCTCCAGACTACATCCATGGAGGTTACGAAAATGTTTTGCTAATGGATTTTCAAGGTTTTTAGGATCTTTATCTTATTTCCCGCATATGCTCTCCAATCCTAACTTTCAATTGTCTTTTAGTTTTGCCACTGTAAAATTTATCACAAGGGCAGGTAATCATATAGAAATTAATCAGAGCTCTAATTTGGAACCTTTTTACTTAAGGGAATCCATAAAGGTGTCGGTCCGCTTTACATATTTGCATATCTGACATCTTCCACAAGGAAACATTCCTTGGCCCAAGGATATTCTGTGAGCCAATCACTGGCCGGTGTTTTCACGAATTCAGAGTGTATTAAGATATTGCCAAGATTCTGTGCCCTTCTAGCCACCATTTCTGGAGAGTCTCCCAAAATTTTACCCAGACCTGAATTATTCGTGAGAATGCCCCAATGTTTTTGGAATATCCCTTTTACCTTGTCCCATTGTGAACCAAAAGTGATTAATCTTACTGTGCCAGGAGAATGTATCTTTTCCTTTGGAATTTATTTAACCAGAAGGCTATTCCTATCATAATTGTCAGCCCTTCTCTTTGCCTTGCGTATTTGTCTATGTATCCCCAATCATGAAAGTGAGCATAGGGGTCTCTTGACTCTTTTTTTGTAATCACTAGCTTTAGTACAATTTCGCTTAATGCGAAGGAACTGGCCCATTGGTATCCCATTCTTAAGCCATTTTGGATAGTAACTATCCGCTTGTAGAAGAGTATTTGCTGCTGTCTCTTTACAAAAAGTATGGGTCACCAGAGACCCCTCTTCCATTGAAATAGGCAGGTCAAGAAAGGAGATTTGGCTTCTATCAAATGAATAGGTCAAATGAATCTTATCATTACAGTTTAAAATACCTATAAATTGATGAAAAAAATCTCAATTTCTTCTCTCCATATAACAAACACATCAATATACCTCAGCCAGGTATGTACATTGCCACGGTACATCGTCGAGATGTAAACGTCCTGTTCCTTCCACATAATAAAGGTGGTGACATGCATAGGCCGGGGCCCATGGTACACCCATGGAGGTGCCACGTATCTGTTTGTAATAAGTACCAGAAAAACCGAAAGAAAGTATTGCTTAGTGCCAACTCCAATAGTTCAAAAATGAACTCATTTCGATGACCCATTTCGGGGAAAAAGAGGTTCAAAAAGAACTTGAATGCTTCCAACCCACAATGATGTGGAGTAGATGTATAGAGTGACTTTGCGTCTATTCCAAATAACCAGAAATCTCCCTCCACCTTTAATTCCACATTTCTAGCAAGAACATCCCGTGTATCCTGGACAAATGATTTTATTTGCCAAACCATAACGTTTAAGAGGAGATCAAGATATTTCACCACTTTTTTCAAAGGTTCTCTTATTGCAGAAACTATTGGTCTCCCTGGCGGATTAATTCGACTCTTATGTACCTTAGGTATTGTGTAGAAGGTTGGTATGTTATATTCCCATACTTTCAGATAATTAAATTCATGGTTGGATAATAAAGCTACTTCCTTAGACATCTCCAGTTTACTGTTAAGTGTATCCACCAGGGTAGGGAATGGATTTACACCCAGCTGTCTATATGTTGTCTAGTCGTCCAACTGTCGTTTTACTTCTGTTACATAGGATGTTTCATTTAGGAGGACCATATTTCCCCCCTTGTCACTGCTTGATGTTTTGCTTCCCTTAGTTCACGAAGGGCTCTACGCTCATCTTGATCAAGATTGTCATGGTTACTAGTTGTCCAGTCGATAGTTCCTAAATCCATCAGTACCAGTTTCAGAACAGGCTCAACCATTTATTTATACTTAACCACTAGCCTACAGGGCACTTATACCCCCTTCCTGCCCAGGCCAATTTCCAGCTTTCAGCGCTGTGGCACTTTGAATGACAATTGCGCGGTCATGCAACACTGTACCCATATGAAATTTTTTATCATTTTTTTGTGACAGACAGAGCTTTTTATTTTGGTGGTATTTAATCAACTCTGGGTTTTTTTATTTTTTCTTAAACAAACCAAAAACCACAGAAAATTTTGAAAAAAAAAAAACGCACATGACCGGTTACAATGGGAGGACGTCATATGACATCCTCCAAGAACGAGAGAACCACCTTGCGTCCGTCATATTTACTATATAATGCGAGCGGGGGGCAGTTAAAGGTAGCATCTTTGTTGATCGGATTTCAAGGTTGACCTTTCTCCTGGAAGTGGTAGGCTGTTCTTCCATACTTTTATTTTCCTCCAGTAAATAGACTAGTGTATCCAACATCACTCTGTCCTCATCCTCCAGTTGGAGGTCTGAAACCAACAAAGAATCATTTTGATCATATAATGATCTAAAAAATTACTTACGTAGAAACAAAGTGATGTCTTTATACACTCTAAACTCGTCCATATTACTCACAGAAGAAAAAGTAATTCCCCTTCGTACGAAGCGTACATTTCTAGGGGCCAACGGGAAGTCATATAGATTAATAACCTATCAAAGATTTGAATATTGTCCTCCCTTACTATTTCTCCTTCCTTTGGTTCTTGGCCCATGTCTTTCGGACTTGGATAGATTTGTCCTTCATTTTTCCCTTTCCTTTTTCATGCTCCATTCGTCCCTTTGTGTAGACGAGGGAACCGCAGAACCCCCCATTTTGCCCCTTCTGAGTCTAAAAAAAGTCACTGATTTTTGCCTCAAATCCTTATCTGTATGACTAGGTGTTCTATCTCCTCCTGACCTTGATGTAAAGCATATTCCCTTCCTCCTAGACCTACTCTGTCCACGTCTAATTGTCAAGTCAAAAATCTTACCTGTCTCCAAGTCCCTTAGGTCTCTCCATAATTTTGATTCTTTTGTAAATTTTAAAAATGACATTGCATTGCGTCCGAGCTCCTATCTAAGGAGCCCATCATTTCTCTGAAATTCCTCTGTATCTTTAAATGAATCTGAGCCATGAAAGCTTTTCTCAAATGACTTTGCTAAATCATCTAGCTGAATGTTCTGCTCTTCCACCATCAATCCCGTCCCCACCATGATTGATGCAAAGTGCTTTCCACTTACGATAAAGCTCTCTCATTGTGAAGGTGTTCCGTTTGCAACACCTTATCACAAAGTCCCCAGGATTTATTTTGTGTTCAATATAGGTTTACAGAAAGGACACATCCCTATTTAGCCATTGAATCAATAGTTTCCTATGTTCCATAACCGCTCCCAAATTTCATCTTCACTACTTAGGGATTAGGATGTGTCCCACTGGAAAGCTACACGGATCTCCTGATCTATTTCATCACCCAACACAAACACCATTACTCTATAACCAGACAGTGGGATTCACTATGGCAATCAAGCACTGTGTAGGACAACTGCCAATCAAAAATACTGATACCCTCAGAATGGATTTTAATAATCCTAAAAAATAGAATAACTACACAGACAGATGAGGGAATAATTTCAGAATTAACCGCCTAAACGCTTATTAGCATTGCCGTTTAAACCATGAGATTAACAACAAAAACAGATAAGTCCCAGTCAAGGGGTAAAGCCCCCTGTATGAGACAAGTGGTTTTTTTTTTCAATGGCAAACAAGGCTTACAACACAGGAAAAATCAAATTATCAAAAGACTTATTAACAAAGATAAAAATCCTACTTCACATAGATTTAGACACACAGTGCTCAATACCCACAGTGTATATCTCATTACAATAACTTAAAAAACAATGTCACTAAATAGACATCCGGACATCAATTATATTATATATGTTGAATTATCCAGGCGTGGACAATTGGCCACTCGTACCAAACAAACACAGAGATTCATTTTTTTGTGGGGGGGCCTTTATTCTAGAAATCATTAAAACCTAACACTTACTGTTTTTGTTGGGTCCATCATGCACTTTACAAAATTTGATGACTCTATAGTGCATGAACGTACAGTTTCTGTTCTTCCTTCTCGGAAAAGTCGTGTCATGGATGCTTCATAGGTAAGGCAGAATTTTTCCTTTGTCCTGGAATAGGCAGAATTTTTTCTCAAAATAGTTTTATTACAATGTTCCCACTCACTGAGAGGATGGATAAAACCGCACTAAATTTCTCTCAATAACATCACCTATTTGTGAATAGATATGTACTGTATTGTCATACCTAATTTTTTGCATACCCTAACCTCCAAGCTTTGCCATAAAAACAAACAGCATTAGGCCTTAATATAGGGTGTGTCAGGTTGTCTTTAAAGGATTATTCAATTTTGTACATATTTAAAAAAAAAAATAGTAAGAAAAAAAAAAAGCAAATTAGCATTTTTCCAGCTTGACCAGTGACAAAATTATGTTTCTGGTAAAAAGGCATGGGGACATTGTTCACAAATTAACCGTTTTTTTTTTCAATGTTGCACTGTTTTTTTGCAATTACACTGCAAAAACTCAAAACAAAATAAATGAAAAAACAAAAATTAATGGTGCCAGAGAGCTGCAATGCCCAGACGTGTATTACCATAGAGCAAAGGTGTGAATTAACTCCTAATCCATGCCTCATAAACTTTTATGTAACATAAATTACATACATTGCAAATAGCTCCGAGAGTTGCAGCTAGCTACAAACATCACTATCTTTTTTGAAGCCAACAGCAATTTTGCAATACAGGTTAGAATGACGGATGTCATACTGCCAGCAAGTCAGTGCACCTACTCCTGTGGATGTGTATTTAGAAGGTCTGTACATCTGAGATCTATAACTGGTTAAACTCCATTTTTCTGAAATATATTAAAATCACTATTGGTAAATTACCATCCCTCCTATTCTCATACTGTACATTATTATAATCGTTACTAAATAACACAAATTCATGAATAATGAACCCCAAATCTGGATTGCCTAGGCTATAATTGACAGTTATAGCAAATAAGAACTTCACCCTGTAGTGAGCGAGCTGTAGAGCGATCTGGATGAAAGCATCAGGACTCGTTTTGCACTTCTTTATTAAACCTTTACCAAACTCTTTGAAAGGGAATGTATGGAAGTCAACATCATCTGCTAAAGATTGAGCCACTTTAAGGGAGTCTTGTATGATTTCTTGACACTGCAAGAGAAACATGGGGTCAGCAAGTCTATACCACTAAGTCAATATACGTATGCATAACACAGCATATTTGTGGGTTAAATTTATTACCAGTGGAATATGGGTTTAAAGCAGCTGCAAAGGCTGAGTTTTTGTTTTTTTTAACAAACATGCTATACTTACCTGCTCTGTGCACTGGTCAAACATTCCCATAGACACACTCCTAAACCTTGTGGACAGCCTTCCCAGAAGTGTTGAAGCTGTTATAGCTGCAAAGGGTGGGCCAACTCAATATTGAACCCTACGGACAAAGACTGAGATGCCATTAAAGTTCATGTCCGTGTAAAGGCAGGGGTCCCAATACTTTTGGCAATCTAGTGTATATGCACTGGACACGGTTTTCTCTCATAATGTCTTATTATATTTGATGCAGTCTGTATTTTTAGCTTTGTTGTAAATTTAACTAGTATCCTTGTAGAAAGCAGCAACAGAAAGCCTCTGTTGGTTACCCTTCATATGTGTGACTGTTAAACATTGCAAGAGTCTTCAATCAGAAAACAATGGAACTGGCCATAAAAGGGAGGGGCTAGCAGCCAAAAAGACAAAGGGAATATTTCAAGACAAACTGCTGAAACCGTGAAATTGTGTGTAGGGTTAAAAAAAAAAAAAAGAAAAAAAAGAAAGAAAAAGAAAAATCAGTATTTAAAGAGGTAATAAACCCAACAACAAACATTTATTATAGTGCAGTTTACCAATTCTTAGATGTGATGGCTGCATTAGTTTTCTTGTTTAGGCTCTCTTTCCTTTGTCACCTGGTGATCTGGTCAGCAAATCTCTTGTTTTTCAACAGAACAAGCTGTCCTGCAATTGTAGCAGTTTTAAGGGCTGATTTAACACTGACAGAGGTGCTTACAATGATTGAATTTTATTTATGTAAAACCTTTACCCCAAAAGGAAAAACATTGCTGTAACTTTTTATAAAGTATTCGCTGGGCGTTGGCTTTAATTTGCTAGTGTATTAAAGCCTAAAAAAACACATGCAGCCACCACATCTATAAATTGGTAAACTGCAATATATAACATTTTTGGGTTTGGGTTTAACACCACTTTAAGAATTTACCTAATTGAAGATTTACAAGTATTAAGGCTGTTACCTCATTGGAGATTTCCCATTGCATTCTCTGTGGTAAAGGCACTGTTGAGTCAGCCTGGCCCTTGCAGTGTCCCTCTTCATTGTATCCAAGCTGGAAGCAGTCTGTATACAACATAGACTGAAAAGAATGATAAAAGGGTATTAGATGCATAACATTTTATAAATAAACAGGGTTACATGATGATAGGTCTAGAGACATAAGCTTCTACCTCCCACAGATGTCCAATAATGGGTGCATCTGCCCATGAATGTTCAGCATTCAGTCCAATTTTCCCATTTTTAAAAATAATGAAGGAAAACGATTTATCAAACCACCTGAGGAAGACACATGAAGGAAATTGTCATGTTGCACAATTAAAAAGAAATCAAAATAAAAGTACAGAATATTTAAGTATTACAGCTGATTCACACATGTGCAGTGCAGATTGAAGCTCAGGTTTCACAGCTAATTGATACAGTAGTTGTTTACCGGTTCACATCAGGTTCAGGACAGGATTAGCTCAGGATCTTATCCTGTTCATGCATATGCAGTTTAGAAACGGTTCCCACAGAAGTCAATAGGATGTAATCCGCACATGAACCTGAAGGCACTGCTCAGAAATCGTACATGACTCTTTCAAACCGCACTAAATCCACACCGCCAGTGCACCAGACATATGCGAACAAGCACCATAGGAAGCAATGTATTTTCACATGTCATGCAGATTGGATGTGGTTCACACTGCATCTAATTCGCATATATGTGAACCGGCACTTAAAGTGGTTCTAAAGCTCAAAAGGTTTTTTACCACTGGGTTTACATACTCTTTAATGCATTCTCTGATTGCCTTAAGTGTGCTGCTCCCCTCCATATACTTGTCTGAGCGCTATGTCGATCCAGCACTGTGCACAAAAGCAGCAGTTCTCTTAGCTCTCTTTCTACTCGCTGGACAGGGAGGCAGCAGCGAGAGCCATTGGCATCAGCTGCTTTCAATCACAGCCAGTGAGTAGGGAGCAGGGGCAAGGCCGAGACGCACTCTGTGTGTCAATGGACACACATAGCCAGCTCAGGAGCGAGCATGCACATGTGCCCCCATAGCAAGCAGCTTGCAAGGAGGATACTCGGCAGGAGACCTGAGAAGAGGAGGATTGGAGCTGCTCTGTGCAAAAACCACTGCACGGAGCAAGTAAGTATGACTTTTTTTTTTATTTAACTTTATTGCCACCACAAGGTATAATGTGATAGCATTAGGCAGGTGAAAGATACCCTTTACTATTAGACCCCCAATGTCTCCCCTTCTTTCCAAAGCAGCTAACCAAGCTCAGATTACTGTAACAGCAAGGGAATGACAACTCTGAAACCAGAATTGATTAAATCATCATCGCTTCTGTCTTCATTCACTGTAGGAGACTGTGGAATGGATGTACCTTGGTCTCCTCCTGCGCCAAATCCTGAAGCCCTTCAATGGGATCCCAGGCTCCTACAATAACAGGAGAATCCAGTGCTGTATAGCTCCACAGGTATGGTGCTACAACCCAATTTTCTCTCTGTCCAGCTGTGGTATGGCGCTTCACCGTGCCAGACTAGCAGTCTCCATCTGCTTCCCAATAGATACTCATAAATGAACGTCTGCAACAAAGTGAAAACAGACAAAATTCTTCTTTATTGAGAACAAGGAGGAAAAACGTTCCATGACATGATCCATGCTAATGTGTTTCAGTCCAGAAAAAGACATTATTCATTGCCAAAAAGACTGGACTGAAACGGGTTAGCTTGGGTCGTGCTATGGAAAATTTCACTCCTTGTTCTCAATGAAGAAGATTGTCTATTTTCACCTTGTTGCTGGCATTCATTTATCAGTGCTTCATCAGTGCTGCATAATTTTCACCTGGATAAATTTTGCTTTACAGTCGGAGTGGGCTGAATGAAACAAGCACAAGGTTATGGGTGCCAACGCAGCCATGAGCATGTGCTTAAATGTGGAGCTTTCCTCCTCCCCTTCCCTCACTACTTTTGGAGGTTTTTTTTTCTTGGAGCGGGTACCTCTTTGACCCCCCCCCCCATCACTGCCTGAAACCCCCTGGGACAGATCACAGGTCCCTTGAGAAAACGCAGCACTACTTATGCATGTGCAGTGGAAAGCTAGCTTTAAAGCACCAGGATTCACAGCTGGTTTCTCACATCTAAAATATTGGTACAGGAAACCCAAAGATTGGCAAAGAACTGGCCCGGGTGTAAACAGTGTTGGATTCCTGGACTCGTATGTACATGTTTAATAAAAGTCATCAGCTACAGTATTTGTAACTGCTGACTTCTGATTTTTTTTTCCTCTTTAAGCCTTCAGAGAACATTTTTATATATCTCACAAATTATTTCTATTAAAGTGTTACTAAACCCACAAGAGTAAAATCATTTTGTATATGCAGTAAAGCATGCGTCTTATATTCACTGTGGAACCTAAGGGGTTAATTCTCTGTATTGTGTAAAAATGCTGTTTGATCCTGACTACTCTGATCCTCCCCTTTTTTCAGTATCTCCCTCTTGGGAGAGTGCATGTGATCAGAAAATGGCCAATCAGCACTGTCCAGAGGTCAAGGGTTTTGCATCCTCCTAGAGCAGAAAGAAAACTCCTTTTACAAGCTTTAAAACGTGCTCGGCTGGATACTGATAGAAGTCACAAGACTGCTCTAACTGCTACTGAGAAAAGGTATTTAGCAGTTTACATTTACTAAAATAATTGCATTTCCATGTTCTGTGGGAAACCAGATATAGTGAACACAGGGTCCTGGGTTTAGTAACACTAAGTAATATAATTTATTATAAAGACCATTTTTAAAGAACTCATTCAGCCAAATATTTTAAAGAAAACCTGAACCAAGAAAAAATATAGGTTGCTAATGCAGAATTCTTGTTTTTAAATGCTACTTGCCTGGCTGTTATATTGATTCAAATGCTTCAATACTTTTAGTCACTAACCTGGAACAAGTAGATCAGGAGTTCTTATCATCCTGTGCTTTCACTGGTTGCAGTACTTTCACTAGGTCAGGGACAAAGTACTGCAATCGGAGATAGCCAGGCAAATAGCATGTTTAGAAGGTCAGTAACTGAAGCCTTAATATTTCTCTGTAGATGTTGCCCCCTACATATGTATACACAGTCACACATTATTTTTGTGCCTGACCTGTCATAGCATTGTCCATGCAATAGAGATTTCGCATAAGCATCCAAGGAATTTACTGGATCTTCACTACGCAATCCTTGCTCGCTTTCATCTAAGGTGACAAAGAAAGCTGCTTTCTCCACTAGATCCAATGCCTGCAGGTTCTTTCCACTGCGAAAATATGCTTTACGAGTTCTGGCCCATGTTGTCCTACAAACAAGATCAAGAAAATAACAGACATATTCTATGTGAGCAGTTATGTGATACAGATAGCCAAGAGAACACTCAGATACAAAATAGAGATCCTGAAATGGTTACCTGGATGTGCTGAATGTCCAGACCATGAACAGTAATAGTCTGCTTAGTAGAATATATCTGAAGATGCGAATAGAGAGGGTAGGAGGCAGAAAACGGGTAGAGCTGGCAAACCCTAAGGGCTCATTTACACTTGCTTCAAAATGTGGCATTGAACATGCTTTTTTAAAGCACTCTGGATACCAATCAAAGCACCTGTCACTAAATAAAATAGTAATCTTACAGTCCTGTTTTGCAGGCTGTGTTTGTTTTGCTTCAAAAATTATACCCCATGTCACTTTTTTGGTGCTTCAAAGAGTCTCCAAAGCCTCCATAGAAGTCTATGATAACGCTCGCTAACAGCACCTGCAGCTTTTGAGAGGCTTTAATTCAGCTTTAGCTTCACTTTGCTTTGGAGGTGTTGCAAATATGAGATATCCCAGGAGGCACTGGGACACCAACAAGCAAACTGGAAAGATGTCATCAGTAGTCACTTTCTGTACATGCGTATATACAGTCAGGTCCATAAATATTGGGACATGGACACATTTCTAACATTTTTGGCTCTATACATCACCACAATGGATTTGAAATGAAACGAACAAGATGTGCTTTAACTGCAGACTGTCAGCTTTAATTTGAGGGCATTTACATCCAAATCAGGTGAACGGTGTAGGAATTACAACAGTTTGCATATGTGCCTCCCACTTGTTAAGGGACCAAAAGTAATGGGACAATTGGCTTCTCAGCTGTTCCATGGCCAGGTGTGTGTTATTCCCTCATTATCCCAATTACAACGAGCAGATAAAAGGTCCAGAGTTCATTTCAAGTGTGCTATTTGCATTTGGAATCTGTTGCTGTCAACTCTCAAGATGAGATCCAAAGAGCTGTCACTATCAGTGAAGCAAGCCATCATTAGGCTGAAAAAAACAAAACAAACCCATCAGAGAGATAGCAAAAAAATTAGGCGTGGCCAAAACAACTGTTTGGAACATTCTTAAAAAGAAGGAACGCACCGGTGAGCTCAGCAACACCAAAAGACCCGGAAGACCACGGAAAACAACTGTGGTGGATGACCGAAGAATTCTTTCCCTGGTGAAGAAAACACCCTTCACAACAGCTGGCCAGATCAAGAACACTCTCCAGGAGGTAGGTGTATGTGTGTCAAAGTCAACAATCAGGAGAAGACTTCACCTGAGTGAATACAGAGGGTTCACCACAAGATGTAAACCATTGGTGAGCCTCAAAAACAGGAACGCCAGATTAGAGTTTGCCAAACGACATCTAAAAAAGCCTTCACAGTTCTGGAACAACATCCTATGGACAGATGAGACCAAGATCAACTTGTGCCAGAGTGATGGGAAGAGAAGAGTATGGAGAAGGAAAGGAACTCCTCATGATCCTAAGCATGCCACCTCATCAGTGAAGCATGTTGGTGGTAGTGTCATGGCGTGGGCATGTATGGCTGCCAATGGAACTGGTTCTCTTGTATTTATTGATGATGTGACTGCTGACAAAAGCAGCAGGATGAATTCTGAAGTGTTTCCGGCAATATTATCTGCTCATATTCAGCCAAATGCTTCACAGCTCATTGGACGCCGCTTCACAGTGCAGATGGACAATGACCCAAAGCATACTGCAAAAGCAACCAAAGAGTTTAAGGGAAAGAAGTGGAATGTTCTGCAATGGCCAAGTCAATCACCTGACCTGAATCCGATTGAACATGCATTTCACTTGCTGAAGACAAAACAGAAGGGAAAATGCCCCAAGAACAAGCAGGAACTGAAGACAGTTGCAGTAGAGGCCTGGCAGAGCATCACCAGGGATGAAACCCAGCGTCTGGTGATGTCTATGCGTTCCAGACTTCAGGCTGTAATTGACTGCAAAGGATTTGCATCCAAGTATTAAAAAGTGAAAGTTTGATTTATGATTATTATTCTGTCCCATTACTTTTGGTCCCTTAACAATGGGGTGGGGAACATATGCAAATTGTTGTAATTCCTACACCGTTCACCTGATTTGGATGTAAATATCCTCAGTCTGCAGTTAAAGCACATCTTGTTCGTTTAATTTCAAATCCATTGTGGTGGTGTATAGAGCCAAAAAATGTTAGAATTGCGTCCATGTCCCAATATTTATGGACCTGACTGTATTCTTGAACGTTTCTGGTGTAGACATCGCTTCTGGTGTGCAGCGTGATGCAGCAGGAAGGTGAGTGGGATCCGGATATGAGCAAAGCAACTAGCAAACGGCACACCTGGTGTGCAACATGAGAACGCTATAGCAGAAAGTAAGCAGGGACCAGAGAGAGAAAACTGAGTGGCAGAGGATCAGCAGAGCTGAAGGACCAAAAAACGAGAAACTAGCAGTGTCACGTGATGCGCAGCGCGGGAGGTAAGGGGGACCAGAGAGAGAGAAGGATCAGCAAACCAGAGGATCAGCAGAGCTGGGGGTTACTACGTAACGGAAGATCAGCAAAGCTGGGCGTTAGAAGCTTCCAAAAAGCATCACTGAAGCATCAAAAACACATAAAAAAAAGCATGATGAAGCAGTAGGCAATTTCATGTGTATTAAAGCCCAAGCAAGTGTAAATGAGCCCTTAGGGCCTCACTAATTCCATGGTGAACAATAGTGAACAGGACAGGGTTTCTTACTTGCCTGGTTAAAGTTGGTGGATGGGGGGGCCACCACAATGACCTGACATTATCACCTGATTCAGACATTTTTCATCCTCTCATGTTTGGGAGTGCATTTAGACCTCATCTGTAAGCCACTGCTTTAGCACACTGACCCTAAAATACTAATTGTTTGACACTGTTTGCCATTTTAATTTGTCTATACAACTTATACTGCACAACCATTCTATGCTATGATTCTTTTAAAAAAGCAAAACAAACAGGCATCTCACCTCTCCCCAGCAGTTAAAGCAGCTAGTTTCTCCTCCCCAGGCTGAGGAGGGCTAGAATCATCTAGAATGTGCTGGAACTGAAGCTCAAGTTCCTTAGGGTTCAGCAAACGTCCGCTATGGTAGACCCAGACTTTGAAGAAACGCCCCTTGTGATACACTACTATGTGCTTACTGTCAGAGTAGTGTTGGATGATGTCTGTGCAGAGATTGGCATGAGATAAGATAAATAATAATAATAAATAATCAAAATATTTCTATTGTGTCTATTCTAAATACACAAGCAACATATCAAATATGGGCACATTTTTTTTTAAAAGATATAAAGCAAGCTTATCCAATCCTAGTAGTCCTCAATGGGTAAAAAAGCACAATACTATATGCAAATGGAATTTTTTCTTTAAAGTGGAACTTAGTCAGAAAAATAGGTCTTGCTAGAAGACTTCAGGCTGGCCCCTTTTGCAGTTATAGCCATGTAAAACATTAAAAATAAGTGCCTATACAGTTTAAAATCCAGTAATACACTGTCTCACTCTGCTCTGCACATGCTCAGTTGCTCTCTATTTTTAGGCATTTTTTAGGCACTGTGCCAAATTTGTAGAAGTCGATCTGCTGACAGTCTAAGGTCTCCTTTCACACAATGGTGCAGAGATGTCAGTCTCTACAAAATCAATTACTCTTGGTGCCCTGTTCACACAACACTAGTATCACGTGCAGATTTTTTTTCTGCACAGGAATCTGCAACGTGTATAAAACTCATCTCAGCGTGCATGAAAACTGATGTAGACCGATGTCTCTGCAAGTGAAATCTGTGCTTTAGTTTCCATCAGTTTTTATGCACTAAGCCCCCGGCCACATCGGGTGCGATTTGCATGCCAGGCGACTTGTATGCCAAGTCGCACCCTATTGTCTGCTATTAGATCGGTCATATTGGTGCGGTTAAGACTTAGTCGGAGCCACACCGATTTCAAAAGTAGTGCATGCACTACCTTTGTTGCGATTTGCATACACATCAGTGTCAGATGTCTTGCAAATCGCAAGGAAATCGGCAAGTCACTGTAAGTCGCACGATTTCAAAAAGCCCTCCCTAGACCCCACTGACCCGAACAACCTTAGACCCATCTCCCTGTTGCCATTTACATCCAAACTCCTTGAGCACTTAGTCTACAACCGCCTAAGGTGGCACCTCAACGACAACAACCTCCTCGACCCCCTACAGTCCAGCTTCCGTCCCCTACACTCCACCGAACCTGCCTTACTTAAACTCACCAACGACCTGCTAACCACCAAAGCTAATGGCCACTATTCAGTGCTCCTACTCCTCGACCTCTCTGCGGCTTTCGACACAATCGACCACCCCCTCCTCCTCCACAAACTACACTCCCTCGGCCTCAGAGACTCTCCTCTCTCCTGGTTCTCCTCCTACCTATCACAACGCTCCTTCAGCATTACCTATAATACTCCCACCTCCCCCTCTCTGTCGGGGTCCCTCAAGGCTCTGTCCTCGGGCCCCTTCTCTTCTCCATCTACACATCCTCCCTTGGCCAACTGATACACTCTCACGGCTTCAACTACCACCTCTATGCCGACGACACGCAAATATATCTCTCGACCCCTCGCCTCACCCTTTCAGTCCCTGTCTGAATCACTAGCCTGCTGTACAACATATCAGCTCCACTTCCTTCAACTGAACCTCTCCAAAACCGAGCTCCTAGTTTTCCCCCCAGCCCGTGCACCCCCCCCCCCCGCTTCCGATTGCCCAACGGATCAAATTCAAATTGCTTACACTGACATACAAAGCTGTCCATAATACTGCCCCAAACTACATCACCGACCTAATATCCAAATACCACCCAAAACACACTCTCTGCTCCTCACAAGACCTCCTTCTCTCTAGTTTCCTGGTCTCCTCCTCCCTTGCCCGCCTCCAGGGCATCACCCATACTATGGAACTCCCTACCCCAATCCATCAGACTATCACCTACTCTCCTCTCCTTTAGGCGCACTCTGAAAACCCACCTCTTCAGGGAAGCCTACCCCACCCCCTGCTAATTGCTGATCTCCTCCAGTCTTCCTACCACTCCATCCCCCACAGCTTTTCCTCCTGTACCACTATTGCCCCCTTCTAGATTGTAAGCTCCAAGGAGCAGGGCCCTCGAACCCCTCGTGTATCGCATTGTATTATTTTTGTACTGTCTCATGTATTGTCTCCCATTGTAATGTACAGCGCTGAGCGAACCATTGGCGCTTTATAAATATTGTATAATAATAATAATGTGATCGGGGTGTAATCGTGTGAATGAGCCTTAAAGATAAAAGTGAAACTAAACCGATCGGAACTAGTGGAACTAAATCGATTTAACAGTTTCATAAAACACGGAATGCGATCACATTTGCTTGTGTTCTTAACTAAACTGTCCAACCATCAAATGACTGGTGTAATAACTGATCACATTTGTAGCACCATGGCAGATGCAGATCAAACAGATGGCAGCCTCCTTGGCTGAAAAGGATTAGCTTTAACTGCTGCTCAGGGCTCTGCACTTCAACAAATAGGCAGACTCCAGCAAGAAGAAACAGGAGAAACGCTGGAGGAAATTTACAGCACACACTAATTTTGGTAGCATAATTATTAATGTGGAATGTACACTATATATTGCCAAAAGTATAGGGACATCTGCCTTTACACACACATCAACTTTAATGGCGTCTCAGTCTATAGGGTTCAATATTGAGTTGGCCCGCCCTTTGCAGCTATAACAGCTTCAACTCTTCTGGGAAGGCCATCCACAAGGTTTAGGAGTGTGTCCATGGGAATGTTTGACCATCCTTCCAGAAGCGCATTTGTGAGGTCAGGCACTGATGTCGGGGGAGGAGGCCTGGCTTGCAGGTTCCACTCTAATTCACCCCAAAGGTGTTCTATCGGGTTGAAGTCAGGACTCTGTGCAGGCCAGTTAAGGTCCTCCACCCCAAACTCGCTCATCCATCTCTTTATGGACCTTGCTTTGTGCACAGGTGCGAACACATGTTGGAACAGGAAGGGGCCATCCCCAAACTGTTCCAAACTGTTTGGAGCATGAAATTACCCAAAATGTTTTGGTATGCTGATGCCTTCAAAAGTTCCCTTCACTTGAACTAAGGGGCCACCCCTGAAAAACAACCCCACACCATGATCCGCCTCCACAAAACTTTACACTTGGCACAATGCAGTCAGGCAAGTACCGTTCTTCTGGCAACTGCCAAACCCAGACACGTCCATCGGATTGTCAGAGAGAGAGAAGCGTGATTCGTCACTCCAGAGAACACATCTCCACCACTCTAGAGTCCAGTGGTGACGTGCGTTACACTATTGCATCCGACGCTTTGCATTGCACTTGGTGATGTAAGGCTTGGATGCAGCTGCTCAGCCATGGAAACCAATTGCATGAAGCTCTCTACACTGTTGTTGTGCTAATCTGAAGGCCACACCAAGTTTGGAGGTCTTTAGCTATTGACTCTGCAGATAGTTGGTTATTTCTGCGCACTGTGCGCTTCAGCATGCACTCACCCCACTCTGTCATTTTACATGGCCTACCACTTTGTGGCTGAGTTGCTGTTGTTCCCAGCTGCTTTCACTTTGTTATAATACCACTATCAGTTGACCGTGGAATATTTAGTAGCGAGGAAATTTCATGGATGGACTTATTGCACAGGTGGCAACCTATCACGGTACCACGCTTGAATTCATTGAGCTCCTGAGAGCGAACCATTCTTTCCCAAATGTTTGTAGAATAAGTCCGCATGCCTGGGTACTTAACTGTATACATCTGTGGCCATGGAGGGGATTAGAACACCTGAATCCAATGATTTGGAGGGGAGTCCCAATATTTTTGGCAATATAGTGCATGTTCCTTGCTAAAAAACATTATTTTTTATCAATTGTTATGAGTAAAATTCCACTTTAAAGATTAAGCAAATTTTGGGTGCCAAGAAATTACTAGGCCGCTCCTACTGCATGGTTACTCCATCTCTGCCATGCCATCAACCTTCATATCATGATTTTTATGCAGCACATGCATACAGCACAAGAACACACATATTCCCTTCCTCATACCAGTTTGACAATTATGCGAGTGTCCAGGCATCATGCAAATCTAAATGAAATGCAGAAGGTCTAATTCACACTATTTGAGGTGACGTCTGTCACCGCTGGGGCACACAAGAAACAATTGTTTTCTATGTATCCCATTCACACTGCAACACTGCCTAATGCTGTGGTAGAATGCAGACATGCAATGTAAGGCAGCACAGCACATCGCACTGCTCTACATTGCAGTGAGTGAAGTGTATGTTTTGCACACCTCACATAACTTTTTTTTTTTAATTTAATAAAAGGGAGCCATGTGATTTGATGAATCGTGCCTTACACTGCCCCCTAGAGCAGCCGGGAACTCAGAGAGCTCAGAGCTGCGGGAAGGTGAATTGCTCCAGCAGCTCGGAGTTTGTGTGTGAATTCAACCTAAAACTTGAAGCTTTACAGAAAAATAAATGGGAGAAGTTTGTAGTTTAAGTGACACCCTCTACTGGCACACTTAAATTAAAGTTACCAGCTTCGGAAACAAGTTAGGTTTATAATTTGGGCATTATGTATACAGTGTTGGTTCTGCAGTGTATACTGCCTGGCTAAGAAAACTAACATGTTTCAAAGTCTGTGTCTTTATTAAACTAGATTAGACAATAAATGTTAGCAAAAGAAAAAATGGCATGCGAGTCCCCCCCGATTGCATACCAGGCCCTTTGGGTCTGGTATAGAGTCTGGCCAAATTACCTGACAATGACTTGCACTACAGACAGTAAGCTAGATTCAACACCATGCTTGAAAATGTTAAGCAAATTTTGAGGGCTCTAGTGTATATATGCTGTTAGTGCTCTTTCAGATACACAAGATTGTTCCTACCTGTTTCATTTCCTGGAATACGTGCCGTGTTAAACATGCGCTCATACTGAGCAGAGCACATAGGCAAACAATCTTGGATCAACAGCTGTATAAAGGGCAGAAAGGGACCAATGCCAGAGAACACAAGACAAAAGAACACCAGGAAAACACAGCAAATGATGATAGATGCAAGACCATGGGTGTGTAAATTATAAAAATAAGAGGTGAAAATGGACAATACACGGTGAGACAATGATTTTAATGGACAATAAACAGTATTGGATTGTGTGTATTGTGGGTAAAAGATCAATTAATATAGCAGGATGCCAAGACAAAATAAAAATAAACACACAAAAAAAGAAAAAAAAAAAAAAAAAAAAACACACAGAAAGGGGAAGAGAAGGAAGCAAAGAAAAGACACTAATCAATAAAGACATTCCACCATGACAGAGAAAGATTATTATTCATTAATATAATACACTATATATGTTAATCTCAGCATCTGCTGACACAACTAAATGCAAAGATTTAGTTGCAGACACCTTTACCCTTGAAGGAGCTCAGGTTACCTGTTTAAAGCTCATTAGGTTTTAAAGAATATGTTTGGAGCTTTAGAATTGGACCTATTGCTATTATCAGAAAACACTTAACAGATACACTGGCTGAGGCAGGAAATTTTTATGCAGATCTCCAATCTGTCAGAAAACTAAGAATTCTTTGGTTTTCAGCTGTCAAAAAATGTACAGCATCCCTGAGAGAAGTAGTAATGTGTCAGTTAACCTGCCAGTGTCAAATACAGATGAGCATGCCTCTTAGCAAATGTATTTCAATGCAAAGCTCCAAACATAGAACCCAAAACCTAAAACAGATTTCACACAGAAATACAACTTGAAAAGAAAAGAGAAAATCTGGCCATTGTTAGGACCCATTCACCATAAGGTATAAGGGTTCTGAGTGGGGTTCAGCTGCACACTTACCAGTCTCCTCTCCAGGTATGCGGGTGGTATTAAAGGTGCGTTCCCACTGGGCCGAGCACAGCGGGATAATAGATCCGGGAACCCTGATCTGTACCCAATTATTACAGAAAAGGGAGAGACATCATGGGTACAGAAGCATTGTAGACATATCATGGAGGAAGATAACACAATGCAAGAGAGTTGACATCACTGTCTAACTTACATTCCCACTATGAAAACATTTAAATTGAGAAACATATTTATTAAGCTGTTTAGGTATGAGGGGACTGGATTTTGTATGAGGGATCGCTGTTTAGGTATGAGGGGACTGGATTTTGTATGAGGGATCACAGTTTAGTTTATTGAGGGGGCTGGATTTAAAATAAATATTCTTGAATTTGTCTTCTAAGGGATACATGAAGGCTGTTATTGTTACCCAAATTCTGGTTGCCTTGCTCTCATGCCAATATTCTTGCTTCAATACTAACCCAGGATCAGTAAGTAAATCAGGACTGATGACTTAACACTGACTTTCCTGAGATGAATACATGTTTTTGGTCAGTGACTTTCAAAAAAGATGAAGCCAGAGCATAAGCATAACACTAAGGTAACTAGAATTTTCAGAAGGTGGCCACCAGTGGAAGCCGCTATATTTCACACATGGATATCATATTATTTATTTCAGGATTATTTTTCCTTTACCACAAATTTGCAAGAGTACCTGAGAATCTGAATGTTAAACCAACATTGCACCTACAGGGTGACAGAGGGCAATCCCTGTTCCATCAATCTGCCAACTGTTCCTGGGCACCTACAGGACTCACACATAGCACTTTCACCTTACTGTAAGTGACATTTGTCTATACACTTCAGAAATGCCAAGATGAGATATAGAGATATGCTTAATTGTCCTGGAACTAGCCAGGAACAGATGCTTCCAAAAGACATCTGAATAGTGTGTTATTTAAAAACAGCATTTGCCCCACTGTACCCCTACAAAAGTAAAAATAAAAACGTCTTGACATATTAACCATACAACATTTAAGGAAGTTTCTTATGTAAATATATTTTAAATAAAGGGTGGCTTTGCACACGACTGCTGCCAGGGGGTGGGGAGGAGAAGGGCCCCCTGCTGGTTGTCGCTGCTCAGAGTAACCAATATAAACAGCACAACAACTCAATGTACAGTGGGGGAAAACCTAAAGCTGACCATAAACATGCACACACAAGCCTTCAATCTCTTCTAATACCGGAGTATTTTTCGGCCATACTTCTCTTGTTGAGTCACAGATGTGCACTTACTTTTGCACTCCTGTGACCCAGAAGCAGCTTATATTGGGCTATTGCCCAAGGTCATCGGATGTGGCAGAGCCACTCCAGGCTCTGGAAAGATCCAGATTCACCCAGTTTCCTGACTGACAGCTGGCTACGGCTCTAAACGCACGGCTGGGATCTAAAGTCAGCTGTGCCCAGCCCTCCAGTGAGAACCGGAAGGGCAAAGCCAGAACGGCGATTGACAGTCACTGCTCTCAGGCTGCATTCATACTTGAGCGATGTGTAGCTTGAAGCTCCAAAAATGCTCAAACTTAAAAAAAATCAATTGTTGTCTATAGTGCCTGTTCGCACGATCAGGTGTGAACAGGCACCATAAAGAACAATTGATTTTTTGAGTGTTTCTGGAGCTCAAGCTAAAAATTGCTCAAGTGTGAATGCAGCATTAGATCAAGAGCTGAGCGAATAGTGGTCTTGGTGTTAGAGCCAACATGGGACAGCTGCAGCACCAAAGCTGCAGCACAGAGGTGAGTATGTATTATTTTTATTTATTTAATTACCATATTTCTCCTTTAAAGCGGATCTTCACCCTCTGAGAGAACTTCCCTCCAATCTACCCCTCCTTGCACTGTCTGCATGAATAGCGCCATCTTTTTTGTTTACTTTTTAACGAAATTGTGCGGCTCAGCCTCCCCATGCACATTGCTCGCCTAGGCGAATGTCATGCACAGTGCTCACTGGGCCTCCTGGGATATGCAAGTCACATACCCAAGGAGGCATAGTCTTTCATTTAGAAAGGGGGGGGCTTCCTCATGCTGTGTCACTGAACCTGGAAAAGCTAGTGGGCCTCTCGATGGCCTTACAAGCAACATGCCAGTGTGGGACCAAGCGGTAAATGGGGAGGAAGAGGGTTGGGGGATGCAGGTGAAAATCCACTTTAAGCATACAATCATGTGAGAGATAATTTAGCCCACACAGGGATACCCATGTGAGCGAGGCCTTACTGGTCTGACTGCATTAATGCTTTTACCAGAGAGCCTCTTTATTGCTGAGAAAGAAAAAAAAAGATGATATTTTTTTCTAATAAGCACACAAATCATTTGCAGGTTTGATATTAATAACAATACTAAACATCAAAAGCTACCTAGTAACAAGTCTAAATGTGTTTACAGACAAAAAATGTGCTTAAAGTTACTGTCAAGTCTCCCGACTTACTAACAATACAAATTAAGAGTGGGCACTGTGATGCAACAGGGGCTTTTCTTTCTAGTCAACTCCTCTTCTGTGCACTCCCAAAATGCAAGCCTCAACTTCCCAGAGCAGTTTGCTCCCCATGTACCATTATTCAGTGGCACTGCCTCAGCTCCTAGTAACAATGCTCTCAAATAGCAGTGTATTAGGTCAATTTTGGCACTTTAGATCTGCAGGAGGAGGAGGGTCCCCATGTTCAGAAAATAAAAGTTGACTAAAAAAAGACATTTGAGAGTACATGAACCTTGTAATGCCTGCTTTTACTTTACATTGTTAGTAAGTGCTGTGATAGAGTCACTTAAAATGTAATTAAGCATTGTTCTGTTGTTGCTTGGTTGTATATATGAATACATTAACTGGTAATGGTATGCACACATTCAGCAAAATTCATGCAGCAAATCTTAGTTTAAATGGATAGTCATATCTATTTTCTTACCGGTTTAAGTTCCTCACGGCTAAGCTTACGTCTGTAAAGCAGCAGAGCATGTACGGTGTTACCTGCACGAGCTGCCTGATTTGGGGTCGGTGTCACATACAAGAAGTCCTAGTACATAAAATTAAAAATATATAAGTGCAAGAATATATTTATCAATTGAAAATATATTCTATTCATGTATATAGTGCTGACATATTCCAGTAAACTTTGCAAAGCAATGCACATCAATCCTTGCCCTAGATGGTCTAACAGGACAACATACCTAACACACTAAAATGAAGTATGCTTTGATCTTGGGGAGGTGGTGGGGAGCAGAGATTCTGGAACATCAGGAGAGACATACCCTTGTATTATGACTTGCAACCAGCAGGTGGCAATCTATGCAAGTTCTATGCTCTCTAAAATTCCCTATCACTAGACAGCTCTGTTAAAACAGACCTAAATTGAATAAAGGACACATTCAAATCTTGCTGGGTGAAAAGGAATGATTTCACATGGTAAGGAGCCATAGATAAAATTGCACTTTATGTAGTCATAAGATCTGAAGTTAGACCAATTTTCTACATTACATTTTATTTACATTTACATATTATTTACAGTTTATTATGTTCTAGATACAAAATGCTGAGCTATTATGTAAACTAATAGGTGTACCTCAGTTTATAGGTTTCCTCTCAGGTGTTTTACAAATCATTATATTGACTTGCTATACAACTGAACCTTTCAAAAAATATTGCTGGAGAGAAGTGAAAAAAATAGACTTGATTAGCAGACAAATGGAGCAATCTCAGCAATATTCTGTCAGGAAAGAGGACACAGGATTTGATATCATCACTCACAATGCAGGACAAGGGTATCATTTACGGCTGGAAATTAGATTAGTAGCGTTAAAGATTAGAGGGGTTCTTTCACCTTCTAGGGCTATGCTTAGCAAACTAAATGATGGGTGTTGTGTGTGTGTGTGTGTGGGGGGGCAGTTAGGCGTTAACGTGAACCTGGTCTAAAACATTTCTAAGGTACCAACAGTGTGGAACAGCATCTTATGGTGTTTGCAAGTACCCCCCCCCCCCCCCCCCGCATTAGTCTTCAGATAAACCTCTGTATCCCGTTGGATTCAAAGCCCAAACTGTACATAGGGCCATGACTTTTGCGCAAGTCAAGATTAACCCGTCCCATCATTCATTTGTCAAATGCCAGACCCTTTACTGCCCAGACATGCAGTGAAGGTAAACACGAGATTTCTGTGCTTCATCAGTGTTGTTACTTGTAAATGTTTTAGGTTTGGGTTTAGGGTGGAGGTGTTGATGAGGGAATCCCTCCCACTGAACCATTGTGTTCTCCTAGGGAGAGGGAGCCGCTCCTGCCGGGAGAACACAGTGATTACTGATAGCAGTTATAATAGCTCCTAGCAATAATCGCATGTAAAATTCGAGAAGCTAGTCAAGAGATCGATCGTTCAACTTGACTACATTCAGCCTGCCCATACATGGTTCGAATCTCAGCCAGTCCCTGCTGAATCTGCTGACATCTGAACCATCTATGGACAGCTTTTGTGTAGCATGATTCACATCAAAGGTCATTACAGTGAGAGCTATGAAAATGTATAATAGTCTCCCTTGTTCTGGCCAGCTCAGTAGACTTTTTGGATACATTACTAAATGCACCAAAAAATTGGATATTTATTTCAGGTACTAATATAGTGCCTTCAATATATATTGTACATTCACATCAGTCCCTCACCCTCAAGAAGCGTACAATCTAAGGTCCCTAACTCACATTTATACATACACATACTAGGGCCAATTTAGAAAGGAGCCAATTAACCTACCAGCATGTCTTTGGAGTGTGAGAGGAAACCCATGCAGGCACAGGGAGATCATGCAAACTCCAGGCAGGTGGTGCCATGGCTGGGATTCGAAACAATGACCCTAGTACTGCCAGGCAGAAGTGCTAACCATTTAGCCACTGTGCTTAACATTAATAGCTAAGAACCCAAGACACTGTTGATCCAGAGATTACCCGAAAACCTTCAGGAGATCAAGAAGAAAATGTGCTTCCTCCTCGGCAGCAAATTGGATCATGCTTTACTGGGATTTTTGCCTCTCTCTGAATTAACTGCACTTACAGGATTCTATAAATGGAGGTTTTCTATTTTTTTCCCCACTGGTTGAGCATTATGGACTTGTGTTTTTTGCAACCTATGTAACAAAAACTTGTCCAGGCATGACAGGTAAAATAGGTAGTGAAAAATATTCTTAAGGTAATTATGTTCACGGCTAATCACATTTCCCTAATATTCTGTAAAGTAGCAAAGAGCATAAAGTTTGCATAAGATTTAGCAGTTCCTCACTGTATAGTTCATTGCACCCAAACTGTTAACACATTAGGCAGACCATGCGGTGCTGTACATTTCATTTTTGTGTACATATACTGTACCTCCCTTAGTGACTCGCCCAGGGGGTGGAGTAGAGATAAAAACATCCCCAAGCTCGCAATCAATTAGGTGGCCCACCCAGCTGGGTCTATTCCTGCTGAAGGATGTCTGAATACAGGGTTTGAAAGTTGTACAGCTGTTTTCAAAGCTCTCGTTTTGCATTATAGTATTCACAAAACAGATCAGTTGTATCAAGAAATCAGCTTTGCTCCCACAAAGCTGCTGAGATTTCTTTAGAATGCATTCAGAATCATGCAAGTCTCCGATGCAGATTGTGTCATGCCTTGAAATTCAATAAAAAGAAACGTGTATCTGAGGGAGACTAAAGAAAGCTGGACAGCTCTAATACCTTGGTCATCTCGCGTGCGACTTGGCATGCGATTTGAATGCCATGCGACTTGAAAATTGTATGCCAAGTTGCAGCCTATTCTCCGCAATTAGAGCAGTCAAATCAAGTCAGAACTGCACTGATTTCTAAAGTAGTACATGTACTACTTTTGGTGCAATTTTCATAGATATCTGTGTCAGATGTCTTGCAAATCGCACCTGAAAGTGGCTTCTCACCTGACTTTGAAATCGTGCAACTTCACTGTAAATCGCACGATTTCAAAGTCGGGCTTGATGTGGCCGGAGTGTAAAAGCTCATGCACAGTGGACATCAAAAATGCCACTTTTATAGGCATTTTACTTTTTTTTTCTGATTTTAAACACCCCTGTATGTTAGCCTAGTTGTCCATATACACAAAAGTGTTTAAGAGTATAAATAAATATATATATCACTTGCGCATTCAGGAGAGGAGTGTTTCGGTGGAAATAAAATGGAAGGTAGGTTTTATAAAAAAATATTCTGGCCAGAGGGATAAACGAACGCCTGAATGTGTTTAAATGCTTTAGTACAGTGTTTCTCAACTCCAGTCCTCATGGACCCCCAACAGGTCATGTTTTCAGGATTTCCCTCAGATGAAACAGCTGTGGTAATTACTAAGGCAGTGAAACTGATCAAATCACCTGTGCAAAATAATGGAAATCCTGAAAACATGACCTGTTGGGGGTCCATGAGGACTGGAGTTGAGAAACACTGCTTTAGTATACCACGGCTTTAGACACATTTTTTTTTTAGCTCCTTTTTTATCCCCTGGAGCAGAGGTGAAAAAAAAAAAAAACGTCCTGTGTGCATGAGGTTTAAATGGAAGTAGCCTTGTAGCATCTCTGTTGCTTACAACTGTAGCGGAAAACTATATGGATGCTTGTTAAAGGGTATTATTCAGGTACGGTCAGCTAAGCAGAGGTTCTGCCAAGACATATATCCTTCCTTTTGACAGCAATCACTTGATATCCAGCTGGGGTTTCACCTTGGTGTGGCATCATGACATCATGGTGATAGGAAGAGTTAACAAGTATGTCATATCAATGCATGTTGGATGATGAGAAGACAACTGGGTTATGTAAAATAATTTCAGCTACCAGAATTTCTGAAGTTACTAGCTTTACAACCCCAACATCAGCAGAGGGGCAAAAAGATAAGGATGTTATTTTGTGAAAGTTGACAATCTCTTAAAGTGGAAATAAATTCTCCAATTCTTTAAAGCCAAGGAAAATGCCACCTTAACCTCTGTTTGATCTGCAGTTGTCATGGTGCTGTACAAGCAACTGTGACAATTATTATTACCAGCATGCATTGAATATAACCTTTTTGGGAAATGGGTAAATAGATAAGTTTAGTTCCACTTTTTAAAAAAACTCTGTAAATAAAACACTTATCTTACAGTTTCCGTTTATTGACTGTCATACTTACCATTGCATAATAATTGCTGTTAACCATAATTGGGCCTCTTCCACGCAAATAAATATATTCTTCCCACCAATCGCTAACCTGAAAAAATACAACGTTCATTAAAACTGTAACACTGTGTTATGTAAAACTAAATCAAGACAAGTATGTAATCTAGAAATGCACTAATTGAAAATGTTATCTTAGAAAATAAACCCAGTGCAGATTTTATCCATTTTTTAAAATGAAAGATTAATGTTCTTACATAGTTAGATGCCCACCAGGATTTCAGCTTCAGGTACCACTGCAGTTTGGGAGCCAGCTTCACTTCGAAATCCTTGGCCAATGCCGTCATGCGCTTAAATTCCTCATCATTCATTAGAGGTCTCACAGATTCCAAATACTAGTAAAAAACATAAGCATTTATAGGATATAAAGGTATTAGCCAACGGGATTCATGAGTAAAAGTAATACAAGTCATCACTATTCTATACTGAAAAAACAGCACAAAGGCTTGTACTTTTTAATTATCTGTCTAAGTTTTCCCAGTTGTGTCAGTAAGATACAGGGGTGTGGAAATTTGTTTTAAAAACTACTTGTCCAAGGACTAAATCGTGGTCCCAATCAACTTGTCCTGATAAAATTTTTTTTTTTTTTTACCAAAACTGTATTTAAGTAAGGTCTTATTTGTTATAATACTACAGTTTTATCACTAATGATTTTCAATGGATGTATGTCCCTTTAAACCTTAAAATGGCTTTGCCAGATGGAAATTACAAAGGGTTGATGTTTTTTATTAGGCAGAGCTGCTCTCAGGAATGTCTGGGGCTTTTAACAATGAAATGGTGCCCTAAACTTTTAATATTTTTAACATTGCACTGTTTATATCCTACTCACCTCCCTGCCTGTCTCTAGCATTGAACCCAGGGACTAGCAGGGAGGGGAGAGACCTTTCAATGTAATGGGCACCGATTGGGTGCTCATCAGGAAAGGGAAGTGTCAGTCTCTCTTAACGCTCAGTAGAGGCACATCTGTTGAGCGAGTAAATTACCCTTGCACACGGAAGCACTTGGGTACTCAGTACAAGCGCATGCTGAGCAGAGAAAATCAAGCTCCGGTGCACACCAGAGTTGGATCATTTTTTGTTCAACCTGCTGGTTGAATGAAAAATATGACTAATGTATGGACTGCCTTACTGAGCCTACCTTAACCCCTTGGCACCGGTGCCTCACGGCCCTTTAAGGGTTCCAGGAGGTGGGATTTTGGGGTCATGTGACCGCCATGATTCGCTATCACGGCGGTCACATGATCGGGAAAGGTCCCGATTAAGAGAGGAGATTGGGACCTTTCCGTGAGTACCAAATGTATGTGCTGGACACGCGCAGAGCGTGCGCTCTCAGCACATATGTTTAAATGTGCGGCTGCTCGGCGTCTAGGCCCAGACACCGGACATTTGCGTTCGGCCTGCGCCAAGAGGTTAAAGAAGAATTTCATTAAAGCGGTAGTAAACTGCAAAAAAGAACAAAAAAAAGCTAGTATGCATTAGTTTGCAGAGGACTTTTTTTTGCAAACTGTTTGTGGGCTTTCTTGTGCATCATCTTTAGAAGAGGCTTCCTTCTGGGATGACAGCCATGCAGACCAACCTGATGCAGTGTGCGGCGTATGGTCTGAGCACTGACAGCCTGACCCCCCACCCCTTCAACCTCTGCATCAATGCTGGCAGCACTCAAATGTCTATTTCCCAAAGACAACCTCTGGATATGACGCTGAGCACATGCACTCAACTTCTTTGGTCGACCATGGCGAGGCCTGTTCTGAGAGGAACCTGTCCAGTTAAACCGCGTGTATGGTCTTGGCCACCGTGCTGCAGCTCAGTTTCAGGGTCTTTGTAATCTTCTTATAGCCTAGGCTATCTTTATGTAGAGCAACAATTCTTTTTTTCAGATCCTCAGAGAGTTCTTTGCCATGAGGTGCCATGTTGAACCTCCAGTGACCAGTATGAGAGAGAGAGAGCGATACCACCACATTTAACACACCTGCTCCCCATTCACACCTGAGACCTTGTAACACTAAGGAGTCACATGACACTGGGGAGGGAAAATGGCTAATTGGGCCCAATTTGGACATTTTCACTTAGGGGTGCACTCACTTTTGTTGCCAGTGGTTTAGACATTAATGGCTGTGTGTTGAGTTACTCTGAGGGGACGGCAAATTTACACTGTTATACAAGCTGTACATTCACTACTTTACATTGTAGAAAAGTGTCATATCTTTAGTGTTGTCACAAGAAAAGATATGCGAGGGGTACGTACGTATGTGCGTGCGTGCGTGTGTGTGTGTGTGTCCCGCCCCCACCGCAGCCCAGCGCTCCAGTGAGCACTGGAGTGGGAGAGCAGAGAATCAGTGATTGACAGTCACTGGTTCTCTGCTCACAAAAGGCTGAGAACCAAGCGATCAGTGGTCTTTGATCACTTAGTTCTCAGTCTTGGAGGATCGATGCTGCATCCACCTAGGGGAGTATAAATGTTTTTTGTTACATACACATACTTCAATTTTATTTGATAATTTTTAATTTTACATATCCACAAACATACCCAAACAAAAGATTTAAAACCAAACATTTTAGCTCCTGTTGTAGTGGCACCTGAACCCCTTAAAAGCACATTAGTTTTTGGTATCTTTATTTGTACCTGGGTCCTGTACTGTGTACTGGGATTTGAATTCCCATAAACTTATGGGAGCAAAACATGCTTGAAACGAACAAATAAACATCAACATAGGTCCTAAATCTGCCTCCTTCTAAACACTCACCATACTTGGAATTGCTGCAAATAATAAATCATCACAATAAGATAATGTTTTGGTTATTTTAAATTGTAAGGAATTGGTGGGAAAACATACACAAGAACAGCTAGCAATAAAAGTATATACTTCAATGGGTCACTGCATAAAAGGTAAATTTAAAGCATAAAGGGACTTGGTAATTACCGCCTTTCATAAAGTGGTAATGGTACACACTTTAAGAACCAGTGTCTTATAGCACTGAGAGGATGGGATGTACCACTTAAAATGACCATGTTTGAAAGGCAAGCTAAAAAACCTCCAGAGCTGGAGGCTCTTAGCCTGAAGGCTGAGACTTTAATGATAGCAGAGGGAAGTGCTAGCTGACAAGCCATGCCAATAAACGCTTGAGGCATGTAAAGAGCTGGTGCAACCTTTGGTATTCAACAACTGAATTTGAAGTTTAAGCAAAACTTATCTTTCATTTGAGATTTTAGGAAACTATACAGTCATTGTCCACTGATATTCAAAAAAGTTAATGTCCCGACAATAGAAAATTCTTGAAAATGTATGCATCTAGTGAGGAGATACCAACCCTCTGCATTGTATCCCTAACTGCTGGTACAGGAAGGCGAGGAAGTGACGCTTGGTAGCTGTATAACATGGGCTTACGGCCTGAGAAAATCTTCACCAAAGTCTACATGGATAAAAGAAAACAAATAAGCAAAGTAATAAAACAGTGTTTTACAAATTTACCATAGCTTAGAAAGATTTTAACTTGCAATAAAGGAAGAGTATGATCCTCCACTTCTGGGTTTGTAGGGTTGCCACCCTCGATTTGCGTGGGCACGAGAGCCCATTTATTTGAATGGGCTCCCGTGCCCTGGGACACGCAGGGAAGTCCCTGCACTACTTAGAACAGAGATTCCCAGTACGGTTGCGATTTCCAGAACGGGTGGCATGCCATTAGAATTAACGGCACTCGCCTGCAGGTCCCGCATTCTTCTGTATGGGTGGGGCAGCTGCAAGTATTTGTGCAGGTCCCACAGCGGCACCAGCTGCTCAGATGTGAACCAGGGGTTAATACAGGTTCTGAGGCTAATTTATGGCAGTTAAGGCAATCAGCGAGTTTAATTACCACCTTAATCAGCCAGAGAACCTGTGTAAATAATATGTGTTTGGTTTTAAAGGGATGAGGTGGCAACCCTAGTGGGTTGATGCGTCACATAGGGGGAGATTTACTAAAAATGGAGTGTGCAAAATATGGTGTAGCTGTGCATAGAAACCAATCGGCTTCCAGGTATTTTTTTTGTCAAAGCTTAAAAAGGATAAGTTCATCTTTGGGAACATGATACATGTTCCACCTGTTTTTAGGGTGGAACATGCAACATGTTCCCATAGCTGCAGCCACACCCGCCGCCCGCCCTCCCTCCCTCCGACAGATAGTATGGGGAGTAGTTTCCCCATACTGTCAAATTTGAAAACAGCGTGGCCGTGCGGGGCTCTGCCCACATGGCTCTGTCATTCATTCACGGACTTCTGTGAATGAATGAACTGCAAGTTCCGACAGCCTTAGAGGCTGTGGTCTTTAGTTTTCAATGAACTACCACAGCACTGTGGAACGCCATGGTAGTTCATTGAAGCTTCCTGTCAGTATATTTGCTTGACTGTACATCTCGTATGGCAAGCAGATATTCTGAAAGGTCTGCAGGAGACCTGCATGGCAGCAGCAATCTACTGATCACTGGTGCAATGCTTTCCAGGCTCCTTTGGACAAAAATAATAAATGCACATTTTTTTACCTGCAAAAAATGTGCTTTTATTATGTTTGTCCAAAAGAAGAACTTATTTAATTGAACAAGCTGAAGTTAGCAGCTGAGTGCCTACCACGCACAGCTGCACCAGATTTTGCACTCTCCAGTTTTAGTAAATACACCCATTATAGGGCTATCCTATGCTGCCCAAGACAATCAGCTGTTAGGTGGCTGTTCAAAAGCAGCTTCAAGGCCACTAGACAATCTGACCTACTAAGTTTAAAACTGGAGCTGTGTTGTTCTGAAATCAGCATATAGTACTATATGTAAATTGGAGGGATGTGGAGTATAATTAAAAAAAAAAAAAAAAGGTATTAAAAAGTGATAGACAGGGGTAGTCTTTAGTCAACAAGACATGAAGACATTATATGACCGCTCCATTTATTTATTTTTCTATATCCACATCACTCCAATCTGAATACTAGGTTTTACATTCTTTACTCCTCCATGCATCAACCCACACACTGCTGTATATTCTATATACACTATCACAGCAAAGTGCACACTGTGCACTGTGTGTACCACAACAAACCGTGCCTGTATACATAAAAGACTCTTACCAGCCACAGCTTGGTGGTGGCAGACATCTTGCCATGCTGATCATACATCCAGCCATGGTACGACAAGAGCTGCTTCAGGATGTAGCGCATAGTCATGATAAGTGCAAACCATAGGCCTGTGGAAAAGAGTAGGGCGCTGATAATGCTCTGCCCCTGGTGAGAAAGGTAGCCACTGAAAAGAAATCACCAATGGTGCAACACATTAGTAAAACTAGTAGAACATATAAAATTATCTGTATTTTTAACATTCAACTAATATTTAATTGCCTCTAAAATGGACACAATTGTAAGGCAATCTCAAAGATAGCACATTTTCAGTGACAAAGAAAAAACTGACAGATGGAAGGACATGGACAAAAAAGCCACTACACAGCACATTCGAGCTAAGGTGGTGTAACCTTGAAAAAAAAAAAAGCTAAGGTCATCATTTCCAAAGACCTTCTCCTATGACAGCTGTGCTGTTAAAGTAGCAATGGGTGCAGTCACAACGTTTTTCAGGTATCAACAGCAGACCTGCATTATTAGATCTCCTAATGTGAGGAGAGGTCTGGACTAGACATGAACTATTTTGAACACTTTTTCAAACAAAGATTCTTCTATGCATTTACCATGTTTCTGAAGATCTCTGCAATATTTTAAAGCACAACTTAATTTTGTAAGGCGCTGCACAAACTGAGTGCGTAAAAATCCAGAACAACAAAAACAACTAAATGCATTGCTTATTTTTTTTTTTTTTTATTGTTTGCCAACAGGACTGGCAGGCTCTCTATTGAAGGAAACATGCAATTCTCAGCATAATGTAAAACGGAACCGAGTATGCCCAGCTCCCTGTACACTTCCGGCACAGTGCCAGTGTTCAGGATGAATGACATCAGTCCGCACAGCCAAAGACCAGCGACCCAGCAGAAGGTATCAAAGATGTCGGTATCAAACTGTTGAGAGGTATTAATGCCTTTCGTTTCAAGTTAACATTTACACTCCATTATAACCAACATTATATAATTCTGCACTACTACTCTATGTATACCTGACTGGCAGATGTTCTTTGATTTTGCCAATCATTCCCATGGATGGGTCCACACGAGCGTACATAGTTCCCATGATGGCAATTACCACAAACAGCCAGCTTGAAGGACTGGCAGGATAGACACCAGTAATAAAACTATTCTGTAAAAATAAGGAATAGTAAAAATATTATTAAAGCATATGCCAAAAAAAAAAAAAAAAAAAAAAAAACATATTTAGTACATTTCTGGGGTACATGCACCTCTTTTTCCCTTGTGTTTTGTCCCTTTAAACACACTGCAAGTACAGAAAAAAAAATTCCTCCTAATATCACATGACAGCACAGTGTAATTTTAATTCTGAACTTCAAAAACACATGGTGTCATTCTTTCCTATTTCATTTCTGATGAAATACACAAGCGCTCTCATCTCCTCCCCTCCTCCCCTGTACAGGCAGAGAGCACAGGAAGTTACCAGCTTACAAGATTTCTGGAAAAAAATAGAGGTATTTTTGTTTTATATCTATCAAACATAAATAGCAAAAAATCTTTCAAAAAGGTATATTTAGTAGAGCAAATAAGAGCAACTCATTGCTGGGTTTTACATACAACAAATTACAGCACAAAAGAAACAAAAAAAGAATTTCTGAAGCAGAAAGAGAAGTATAGCGCAATTTTACTGAGTTCTTATTCTGAGTTCTTATTTGCCATAAAGCATTTTTGAAACAGGTGTCTAAATTGAAAAGAATTCCTCTCCATTCTTGCCTGGTAGCAAAATCTAAATTTTTAAAACGTTCACACTAGCCTTGTGTGCAGGCGGCAGAGAGGCGTTTGGGAAGCGTTTTTTACCGCTTCCCAAACGCCTCTGCCAAGAATTACAGCACTCTAACGGGAGCGTTTGCGTTCAAAACGGACGCCCTGGACGAGCAGGAGGCAAGCCTCCTATTCTCGTCTATGGTGCCGCTCCGCAAACGCCCGGCCGGCGTTTGCGGTGCTTTTTGCGGGGCGTTTGCGGAGCGGTTCAAACTACAAAATTATAGGCGTTTGTGGGGCGTTATTAACGCTCGGCAAACGCCTAGCAACCGCCGCTATGCGGCGTTTGCGGAGCGTTTGCCGAGCGTTAAAAAACGCTCCGCAAACACCAACGCTTGCCAAACGCAATAGGGGCGTTTGGCAAGCGTTGGCAAAACAGCCTAGTGTGAACGAGCCCTAAAGGTTTTGCCTTAAGTTACAGTTTAACAACTTCCAGCCCAAGCCAATTATGACACTTCTCTTCTACATGTAAAAATCTATTTTTTTGCTACAAAATTACTCAGCGCCCCCAAACATATACATGTTTAAGCAGAGACCCTAGAGAATAAAATGGTGGGTGTTGCAGTTTTTCAGACATCTCCTCTTGCCGTCTGTAAAATAAATCCAGTGGATAATTTGCTGCTAGGATGGTTTTTACAATAATCGCTGACTGAATAGAAAGATACCAGGATAATGTTTCTAGCTGCAGGCATCATCCTGGTAAAATAATAGAAAGTCAAGGACGTCCATGGACTTCCACCTATCGGGAAGTGGTTAACCACTTCCTGTCCGGACACTTTTACCCCCTTCCTGTCCAGGGCAATTTTTAGCTTTCAGCGCTATCACACTTTGAATGACAATTGTGCGGTCATACAACACTGTACCCATATGAATTTTTTACCATTTTTTTGAGACAGATAAAGCTTTATTTTGGTGGTATTTATTCACCGCTGGGATTTTTATTTTTTTTTACTATGTAAATGAAAAAGTTCAAAAATTTTGAAAAAAAGTGTTTTTTTAAATAAAATTTTGCAAATAAATAATATTTCATCATAAATCTTAGCCAAAATTTATTCCGTTATTTTTTTAGTAAAAAAAAAAAATCCAAATTAGTTTATAACCAAAAATTATAATTTTTAAACATTTTTTTTTACATTATTTTTTTTTTTTTTTTACATACTGTCACCCTAGCAGTACACTGTCACCATGGTGACACTGTACTACTTGTGGAGGGTGATGAAGATTTTTTTTTTTTTTTTTTACACTGATTGCTTTTACACCCATATAGGATGTAAAAGCAATCATTTCTCTTTCTCTCTGTCTGCATTCCTGCAGTCATTGAGAATTACTGAGTGAGCTGTGAGTGGTCACAGCTTGTCACATGGTACAAGGCTGTTGTGAATAGCCTTGTACCATGTGACCTCTGTGATCATTCACAGATTTCACACATAGTAAGCAATGATGTCACAAGTGACATCTTGCTTACTACTTTGCATGTAATCACTGATTCGCCAATCAGTGATCTCATGATCGGGACCTCGTACAGAGGTCCCGTCCGTCAATCGGTGTTTCACTGGGCACCGGATCGTGGTGGTGTGTGCTCCCAGGGAGCGCGCACAGCTAGAAAAGGCGGGTGCCGTTTATGGACGGCAACCCGACCCTGGACTGCCACCGCCCTGCCGTTTATAAACAGCAGGCGGACGGCAAGAGGTTAAAGCAGACTTAAGTGAACAACATAAATGTCAAAGGAGAGAACCATGTTTTTTTTTTTTTTTTTTTTTTCCAGAGATTGACAGAATAAATGACAAGGGGGAATGTTTTGAACCTAGAGGACAACAGGGATAACCTCAGAATATGGAAATGCTTCTTTAGAGTGAGAGATGTGAAAGTGGAATAGACTTCTACAGGAGTGAGTTCTAACAAACTAAGATTCCTTAAAAAAAAAAAAAAAAAAAAGCTGGATGTAGTTTTAAGTACACAAAATGTAACTAGGTATTAAATGTGAAAACAAATGCCTCTGTAGATTGTTGAATACCTGACTGCTTGTGGGGATCAGGAAGAATTTTTTGGGAGCAAATCCTCCCATGCTGTATAACGGTTTTTGCCTTCAACTGGATCAACCAATTCTAGCGACCTAATATCTTTTGGATGAATGTGATGGACAGAATTTTTTTTTTTTTTTTTAAGTGGCTGTAAACACAAAATGTTTTACCTTAAAATTAATTTATATCTTATATCTCCTAGATTGTAAGCTCAAAAGAGCAGGGCCCTCGAACCCCTCGTGTATTGTATTGTTACTGTCTTGTCTCATGTTCTGTCCCCCTTGGTACTGTACAGCGCTGAGCATACTCTTTGGCGCTATATAAATACTGTATAATAATAAATATATTATCTTAGATATGAAATCTGAACAAAACAGATCATTCTATACTGTGTACTTGTCTCTATCCAAAGCTGAGTGCAATTTCTCTCTGTTGTCTGGTTCTTTTGTTATCTGCATGAGTCACTTCTGACAGCTTTTCCAACACCAAGATAAAAAAGGGGGTTGTGGGAGGAGAGCTCCAGCACACAGCTTGTGATTGACAGCTACTGCTATGCTTTTTCTCGTAGTGTGAGGAGGGGGGGGGTGTCCTTCCCTCCAGTCAGGCTCAGAGTTCTTCTCTCCCATGCCCCCTGCTTTGTGCTGCTGAGAGATGCTGACAGATTCTGTGCAAATTCTGAGTTTTACAATACACTACAGGACAGATGACTACAGATAAACAGGTACAGCTTTTGTAGAAGAATTTATTTAATCTCTGTATCACCTGAGGCTAGTCACTTCACTGGTTATATGTAAGAGTTTTTAACAGTTTAAAAGTGGTAGTAAATTAATTTCTGGTACTTTTACCTACAGGTAACGCTTATAATAAAGCTTACCCGTAGGTAAAATGAATATCACCTAAACGTGCACCGTTTAGGAGATATTCCACGGAGCAGCAGCCGGTGATGTCACTGGTGCATATATTCTGAAGGAACGGCACACCGTGCTGTTCCTTCAAAGGTCTGTGCCGCAAACCGTGACTCCCGCACATGACGTCATCACGGCTCGGCTTATCAGACAGCCAGAGCCCACGAACCTGGAAGGAAGACCGGGTGAAGATGGAAGCCCGGTCAACAGTGACAGTGCACCACAGGAGGACTCGTTTTAAGGTACCGGTAAGTCTCTCATAATGTGCTAGCATGCCGTGCATACTAGCACATTATGGCTTTACCCTGCAGGGCGATTTATTTTTTTTAAACAAACTTTACTACCACTTTAATACATTTCCTGCCTTAGGGTGAAAAACGCCCACTACCTGTTCCACTACTGTTCTTTCTTAAGTCTGCACAACCATAGAAACTTCATTATCAACTGAGATTCTTAGGTAAGCTATGTTATGACTGCTTCTCTTTACAGTGCACTAATAAAGCTACTGGCACAAACAACACAATCACCATACCACACTGCTTACCCTGAGGCGAGCTAGCTTCTTCTTCCAGGATCGGAGCCCGGAGATGTAAACCTGTTTAAGAGCCTCATGGCTTAATCGAAGGTCAATACCTTCTGGTGTAACTGTAAACTGGAATGCCACAGCCTGGTGGGCTTCTGCCATTGTGGTAGTTCTTCAGTCCAAATCTATGTGAAGCAAAAAAAAAGAAAAAAGAGAAAAGAAAACTGTAATAAAACAAAGTATCATAAAACCCTGAGCTTTTGTCTGCTAGTTGCAAACAGCTCATAAACATAAAAAAGGAAACTGTAGTGCTTATTCAGTGAGCATATTATGCTGCAATTACATATTAATTATTGTATGATAATGTTTATCCTAAATTTGACAGAAAACAGCCTACACAGACTTCGTGCAAAATATAAAGCTGTCTTGCACTGGTCTCTAAGCCCTACAGAACATCAAAGAAACCATGGTTTCCATAAATGTGAGAATTTCTGAGAATACTCTTTGCTTGACACTGGAATGAGTGAGTAGCTCTGAGGAAAGGGACTCGTCCCCGAAACGCATCAACCACCTGATCACACTGACTGTCGGAACACCTTGCCCGTTGTTGTGGCCATCTCCATTATGCAAAGCTTTTTATACATGCTATGTCTGTGAGTATGTTTTTGTCTTTTACACCGTTTAATAAATCTTGGATAATGCACTAGGTGTTTGCGCCACCTGTCTGCTCTTTTCCCAGTGGTTGATTTACCCCATCTGAGGAGGACTGAATCCCTGAAGCATTATCTGTAGGCCACTCCTGTCATGGTTCCCTTGGCATCCCTTTGGCAATTTATTTCCTGGAGCACTGGAGAGTACACACGGTTATACAATCTCAACTTCAGCTGCCTATTTACACGTTCCTGTTGCTTCCAAAGCCTTACTCCATAGAAGGTATTGCTTCTATGAGGAATATGTCTGAAAAGCTGTATGCGGTTTGAAATAACTGGATTTATACCATTAGATTCTAAAATGTTTTTATTTTTAAAAAATAAACTTGGCATCTGTACCTGCTCTGTGCAATGGTTTTGCACAGAGCAGCCCTGACCCTCCTCTTCCTGAGTCCCCGTCGGCCGAGTGCCACCATAGCCCATAGGGGCTACTCGTTCATGTTCGCCAGAGCCAGGTCTTCGTGTCCATTGACACATAGAATGCTGCTCGTTCCCGCTACTCAGACTGCCATACCCCAAAGACTAACACTGCACCTCAGATGCACATGCATTTCAACACACAACACATGGTTGCACAATGCCGTGTGCAATTATCGCAGAGGTTTACTGCTTTACTTTAAACTATATTCTATTTTTTTCCGCATTTTGGATAGAGCAAGGGAGGGTTATAACTCGTCAGATTTTTTTTTTTGCCATCTGTGTCCCATTGTGGAGATTTCCCTTCACTTCCCTTAGCCAAAACAGGAAATGAGAGGAAACCCACAATTTTAGATTTTCTTTTACTTTCAATGACAATGGTAAACAGGACAAAATAGAGAGGGTGAATCTGTTTAATAATACAAACTGACAGGTATTCTAATCTCTCTCCACTCTATTCCAAAATGAAAATAAGTAAATAAATTTGCCTTTAGTTACACTTTAAAGCTCGAAACTTCTCTTTGCTTCTGTCCGCTGCAGTAAGTCCATTCCACCACTAGATGTACCCAGTCTTCCAGGCTGAATGACGCCCATTTAACCTGAAGATGGAGGACATACTGCAAGTTCAGGGAATCATTCACCTCACTCAAGGGGGCATCACCATGGCACCCTGCACACCCACTGCAATTATGCAGAGAGAGAAACTAATCCCTTCACCACTGTTCTCTGTATTAATTGAGGATTGCCTGCTGGCAGAAGATCCAAAGAGGAAGAGGTGTCGTACGATTGACCTGAAGACATCTAGAGGGATAACAAAAAAAAAAAAAAGGACAGCAGGGGACCTCTGGGGGGAGCACTTGGATGAGGCAGGATAGAAATGGGCTTTAAAAACTCCATAAAATAGAAATAATTCCTGTGCAAGAATCAAGTGATTTTTCTTGGTATAGTTTGCTGTGTCAAACATCCGTGCTTAGTGATTTAGCAAATTTTTAACAGATGTAATAGCAGCTCCACCACCACCACTGCCATTGTGTAATTGTTCCCACTGACAGTATTTTCTTGCTGATGATGATGATCATTGAAGAATACATTTCCATTCTGCTGGAAAATCTGTTGACTTCACATGAGCCACTTTTAGTCATTTTCCTGTAGTTTTTGCACATCAAATCAGCAAAATGTCATGCAAGTCTGGTAAATCTTTGCTGGATTAGAGGAAACAATTGAACTATCAGCAGCATAAAAGAAAACGCCTGACATCTGTAGACATCACTTGTTAAAGCAGATAGATTACAAGACAGACATTTCAGTGGATAGCATCCAACAAAGATGAATTCCAAAAGTAATCAGGTGAAAGAAAATATGGTTTAGAAGAATTTCATAAATCTGTGTTCTGTCTGCCATAGAAACAGCAATCATGACTATGGGTACCTTTAATGGAGAACTAACAAAAGCCACAAGAGACAGAGGATTGCCACTGTGGGGCTCACCCGCTGCCGTGTATAACAACGGAAAGCATGGTGGAAAATACACAATTAACATTAAAACAGAAAAAAAGTCACCATGGAAACTGCAGATTTGTAATGGCAGCAAGTAATGCATTTTTCTTCACATTCAAATTTCTATCGTTGTATTCCCTGAACATGATTTAAACAACTGACTGAGGCGTTTAGCTTTTAAAAATGAGGCCAAAATGAAAAAAACAGCTGACTGCTTTGTTAGGCTTCATTCACATGGCCTGTGGTTTGCGTTGGAAGGAAAGATGCCAATGTGCCAATTCTGGTGCACTACTCTGTTTAAAATGATAAAAGGCATTTTTAAATAACAATCATGTTATACATACCTGCTCTGTGCACTGGTTTTTGCACAGAGTAGCTCTGATCCTCCTTTTCATGGGTTCCCTGATGGCACTCCTGGCCCCTCCCTCCTGCCTAGTGCTCCCATAACACAAGCAGCATGCTATTGGGGCACCTGGGCAGGCTTGCTTCTAATCTGCTGCTCCGTGTCTTCATTCATACGGAGCTTCGCCCCCTCCTCTCTTTGTTAGCAGAAGAAGCAATTGGCTCCCACTACTGTCAATCACAACCAGTGAGCTGTCTCAGCCAATGAGGAGGAAGAAACCCTGGAGAGCCGCTGCTCTTGTGCACATTGCTGGATCGAGATGAGGCTCAGGTAGGTATTGGGGGGGGAAGAGGGGCTGCTGCACACAGGATTTTTACCTTCATGCATAGAATGCATAAAGGTAAAAAACCTTGTGCCTCTGCAACTACTTTAACCGCCAGAGTATTTACCCCCCTTCCTGACCAGGCCATTTTTTGCGATACGGCGCTGTGTTATTATAACTGACAATTGTTCGGTCATGCAATGCTGTACATAAATGAAATTTATGTCACTTTTTCCCCACAAATAGAGCTTTCTTTCTGTGGTATTTGATCACCTGTGCGTTTTGTTTTTTTTTTGCGCTATAAACAAAAAAATGACTCATCAAATACAGCGTATTTTTGAACAGGGGGATAAAGCTGGACGTCTGTTGGCTTGGTTGGCTAAGGAACAAACTGCCTTGACTAATGTCACCCTTATACAGGCTGATGATGGTTCTAGGATCCTTGATCCAGTCTTAATCATCGTTTTGTCGACTACTATGCTAATTTTTTATTCCTCTAAAGCTTATACGCCACAGGACCTGTCCCAGTATTTGGATTGTGTTGAACTGCCATCTCTCTCCGCAGTCCAGAGGGGACAATTGGAGGCTCCGATTTCCTTGGAGGAGATCAGAGATCCAGCAGGCGATTGGCACTCTCCAATCCGGTAAAACACCAGGTCCGGATGGCTTTCCAATAGTATTCTATAAAACATATATTGAACAACTGGCCCCCCCGCTTCCAAACACTTTTTAATACACTATTCGAGATGGGAACCTTGCCTTCTTCTATGCACCAAGCGGTGGTAGTGGTGATTTTAAAGCCTGGGAAGGACCTGACTCACTGCTCCTCCTATCGACCAATTTCCCCATTGAACACTGATGCGAAAATACTCGCTAAGGTGCTTGCTGGGAGTCTGTGCTCGGTTATTTCTACGTTAGTACACAATGATCAGATGGGCTTTATGACGGGTAAGACCACTGACATCAACGTACAGAGACTATTCACCCATAAATCTATGGCAGGGACAGCGACAACCCTGGTGTGCTGCTGTCCCTGGATGCCGAAAAGGCCTTCAATTCGGTTGAGTGGGAGTATTTGTGGGAAACTCAGACGTTTCAGACTTGGCCCCACTTTTATTTCATGGGTCAGATGCCTGTACAGTGCGCCATTTGCAAGAGTCCATACTAACAATATCCTTTCTACCCCTTTTGCTCTCCACAGGGGCACTCGGCAGGGTTGGGACTATTGGTCTCCCATATGATAGCAATAAAATCCTAAGTTAAAAAAAAATAAAAAAATATACATGAAAGTAGAAAAAAAAAATTGGAGCCTCCCCACCCCCACACACGCAGATATTTAGGTTTAGTTTTCGGCCACATGCATTCTGAATTTTCAGTATCAGTGTTGGCACCAGAATTTTCATTTCGGTGAACCACTAGTTGAGATGAAAGTTGTCTACCCCGCCCATATATACATATATATATAATTTTGCGCAGCTGTGCCACCCTGTAGCAGTACTTCTGCTATACGGCGGATGGCAAGTGGTTAATTTATTTGGTTTGAGAACTTTATTCAGTTCTATTAAACGCAGCATCAGTGCAATGCTACACTGAAAAAAAGTGTTGGACCTCAATTTAGAGATGTTAACCAACTTCAAACCAGGCAAAGAAAATAGAACTACAAAAGAAATCAATATTAAAAAAAAACAAAAAACAAAAAAACACAAATAGAAAACATTAATATATGTGTGGTGTGTTTTTTTTTTTTTGGAGGGGCATAAATAGCAATGCAATAAAAACCTTTACAGCTTATAAAAAGTGTTAGCTGGCTGTAGAATTACCGCTCTCCCCAGACATTTGCAAAGATGCCTAATATGGGTTATGCAATCTGCGTT